GTAAATAATAATTATATATATATATATATATATATATATATATATATATATATATATATATAATTAAGCGAGAGGTTTTATATATATATATTATATATATTATATATATATAATAAGCGAGAGCTTTTTCTTCAGATGGTGAAATAATATGATAAAATTGTTCTTGGACATCCATGCAGTAACTAAAAACACGTAACACATACTCCAAGCTGACAACATGTTCGTTTGGAATAAGCTTTTTTATAACAAAATATATTATTTATTTTAATTTTACATTTTTTTTAAATTTATCATAACTCGACGTTTTATCAATTTTTTGTTTCATATTTATTTTTTCAAATTTATTTGTATGCACTGAAGATGGGTCAAATCAACCTCCGAAACGTATGTTCTCTGAATAAAAACATTTTTTTCAATAAAACTGTTTTTATTTACTGGACGGATGCCCAAGAACAATATATAAGAACAAATATAATATATATATATATATAAGATTTACATTTTTTTGTTCGACGTTGAGACATATACATATAGACATGTTAATATTTGCAGCCAATCGTCCAATAAAAGAACAATAAATAATAAAAACAAACTATTATTGCTGCAAACATTGATATTCAAGATATATTAAGGCGGGTGGATTTAAAAGTCACTTAGGAACATATGATTTTCGGATTCTAGGGATCAAAATAAGATACTTTGCTGAAGAAACCATATCTCTAAAATAAATTCTGACGTCCCTAGCATTGACCCAGAAATTCGGGTCAAATTTTAGAATATTCCATTTAGACCCATTTAGAGTGCCCCAATCGTGTCCAAATGTATAACCGACCCACCCATGCCCATGGTTCACCTCCTGGGACCTCCCCTGAAAGGAGGTGAGATCAAAAAAGAATGTAGTATATTCATCTTTTCCACAGATAATATTTTCCTTTTAATACTCATTAGTTTTCTACAATTTTTTTCATTGAAAATGTAATGATTAATCGTTAAACATACACAGGCCTGCAAAACTTTCTTTTTGTTTGGTGCATCAAATGTTGGAGCTAATTCTTATAGTATTTTTTGCGCTGATTTCAAATCTGCAAACCAATTTTTTTGTATCAGCTCTAGTCTGGAACTTGGAAAAAAGTTGCCGAAACCAGGTCCATTCTAGGTCGTCACGAAAAAGAACTTTTCACAGTGTCAACTAATGTTCCAACTAAGGCCGAATAGGTCTTGTAAGTTTGTATGTACTAGTAGGTATATCTCATTAAAATAAAATTCTGAATTGTATTACTATTTTGTACTTTCATTCCTTATACGTATATCATATCTTGAAAACTAAAGCTCATAGAGAAAAAACAATGTCATTTTTGAAATCAGCGCCCCAAATATACTTAAAAACAGCATTAAAATCGTTTGCACCATTTTCTTTGTTGGCCTGTATTATATATGCACGTGTATTATTGAAATTACAAAAAAAAATCCTGTAATAATGTGATTTTTGTCAATTTAAATTAAAAGATGAAGATGACAAGAAGACTTTGATAAAGAAGATAATTTAGCCCTAACACCCAATATCAAAATGTGATTCCAAGTGAAAATATGTATGTTAAAAATATATAACAATAAAAGAAACTACTGGGTTATCTTCTAGTAGCCATCTCTTATATTATCGAATAGTAATTCTAATATAAATAAATATAATTATAAAAAAACGCCTGAAAATAAAAAGACCCAGTGATCATCTACCGTCATAATTTTATATGGTTTGCACAGAAAAATTTTCAAATAGGTTATTTAAAATTATAATTTATCATTTATTATTGCTTTCATTATTATTATTATACTATTATTTATATTATTATTTAATGATTTATTTAATTCTATTTCTTTTCTTTAATTTCTTTTACTCCCTCTGCTAAAACTAGCAATAATAAGATTTTTTTTTAATATAAATATAAAAACTAAATATAATCATTGTCTAAAAGAACAGAAGAAAAATAGGATCACATCAAAATATCAATACGTCGTTGTTTGGATTACAGTTTAATATTTTTTCCAGAATTTCTGTATCTTACTGATAGTATCTTCTATAGTGCTAAATAACAATGACCTATATATGTACAAAGTATGCTAGAGAATTTTAAAAATCCTTCAAATGATATAGTACAAGTATACGTTTAATTGCATATAAAACAATATTAGTTAATTTTACAAAGAATTTGATACGGTAATAAACGATGAAGCAAATAATTATAAAACGATATACCAAAAACCTTAACATAGTTTGGATATAATATTTTTTTATTTCATGCAGTAAATTAAGAAGATACCACTGAATCTATTTAACTGATTTAAAATTTGTGATTGCTAAGATAAAATAAATTTATAAAAGACCATGGACCTTGATTTGGAAATATCTGTTAAGACGCATGCGTATTATCGGAGACATGGGGTTTATTGGCTGCTCATAGTCATAGTCATAGGCGTGCTACTTGCAACGCTTAAACAAAACACATTCAAGGATGTATCTAATTTAAAATCCCGATAACACAGTTACACTATTTATATAAGACGACTGTGAACTCATATTCTTATGAATCTTACTATAAACTACCGATAATAATTGACAAAATGATAAAATAAAACAAACCCTTCTAAGAACCTTTTTTACGTACACTTTCCTACAATAACTGATATATTTTTGATAGAATTTATTATTTTAATAGTCTACTGCGTATTGTAGTTGAATTGCATATTGTAACAATTGTGCAAATTTTGTAAATAATAATAAAATTTTAAAAATCCTTGAAAGAACGCACAAGGTCAACTTGGTCGACAAACATATTCAAGGACAATTTTGTGCGTCTGTTTTTCTCGGTGCCCCCTTGACAAAATATCAGAGAAACATAATAATTGTAATTTTCAATTTGCTCAAAATATTTCTTAGTCATCAAATTTATATAATATTTATACCTTTCTTAAAATATTGTGTTGCCCTTATTCGTGATCTTTTTCATATTTTTGCTACATAATTATTATTAACTAGATTCCATTAATTGTTTTTGCTATGTGTTAAATGATGAAGATTATAAAGATATTTAGTGAAAATCCAGAAAAGTCAGTTTGATTATTAAATGAATTTAATTATAATTCAACTTCATTAATTAATTTATTATCTAAATTATTGTTTGTATTAAATGAAACAAAAATCGGATAAAAAAGAAAATAATTCGCCAGGGGTAGGAAAATACCTATTACCTACGTGCGTACGTGTTCCCTTGGTCATAATTTTATTTAGGGGTTGATAGCATTTCTTCTAGAGTTCAATGACTGCGCAACCCCCAAAGTTCAATATTGACAGAAGTAAGAGGATATTTATTTTGGCATAGTTTCTATGTGAAATATAAATTGGTAGAGATGTTTAGTAATTAAGTAAAAAATAAATTAAGTAAAAAAATTTATGAACTAGGTGTATCATTATGCTTGATCAACAATAGTCAATTAACGTTAACCAACAACATCAAGAATTGAGATATAGCAATTTTTAAAATTGTAATAAAAAATCATGAAAATTTGACGCAGTCCTCTAATAATCTCTAATATTTTTTTTTAATTAAACCACGTTTTGGAGGTCAATAATAATTTAAGGTGTTGGATAGGACCAAAACTATGCTAAATTTTATTAAAATCAACGATCCTCATCAAAAACTAATCAGCACGATTTCAAATTGATTTCTTTTGAACAGTTTGTGAATTTTCAAGATCAGTTCAAGATTTTTGGCGAAAACGAAAGGTCAAACTTTGGCCCACATACATACATTCCGATATATCCTTTTTCCAATTTTAGTGCCAAACCACATAGAAAAAGACTTTTTTTTAAATTCTCTTTTAACAAAATAAGACTTGAGAAAGAAAATTGTCAAATCGGATTTTCTGGTGAAAGCAAACTACTCCTTTGGAATGTTAATGTAAATAAATATACTGCGGATGTTGAAATTTTGGAACTATTGTAACAAGTTATAATTAACCTATTATAAATAATGTATTACATTTTTAGTACTTAAGATTTTGTCCATAATTTGCTAAAAGATCAGACATCTGAACGTATGTGAAATTTCGAATTAAAAAATGATATAAAAGATATTTATGTCTAAATTTTGCAGTGATTTAATCAAGCTAAGATGTTGCATTATTTTATTTAAAAAAAATTAGTCAATGTTTCCCCCAATTTGGTAATTTAATAATAGTATTAAAACATTTGATAAACCTATTTGATTGGAGTTTATAACAACATAATAAAGTATGTAATAAGATTAATTGAGAGGATTATGGTGTTGTAATATTAATTAATATTACAATACTATAATCCTCTCAATTAAATTTATTACATACATTATTAGGTTGTTATAAACTCAAATCAAAGAGGTTTATAATTTTTTTAATACTATTCTTCAGAACAGTTAGAAACTTGCAAATAATCAAGGCGGTTTATTACAAGGCGAAAAAAGTTTGAGAACCTATATCAGAAGCATAGTTCAAAAGCTATAAAACTAAAGGCAAAGTACAAGATATAAGATGACCCTTAAAAAAAGTATTTCAAACTCCTTCGAACTTTTTCTAGTTTAGAAATTAAATACAGTAGAACCTCGATTAACCGGACTAATTGTTGTCGATGGGCATTCGTTTAATTAAAAATTCGGATAATCGAATGTATGAAGAATAATGTTGTGTATTTATTAAAAATAATAAATACATACATAGATATCAACGAAAATAAATGTTTATTAGGAAAATAATACTTCCTTATGTATGTACGTACATATTTTCTTCGATTACATTACATACATGTATTAAATTGCAGCATTAATCGTCCAAAAATTCGAATTGTAGGTAATACATACATATAAATTGGTCACGGTTGGTAGTCCGGGTAATCGAGGTTCTACTGTAGATGTATCAAACATATGACCTAAAATACTATTAAAATGTTACTTATTTTTTTCCAAGCTCACCTGTTTCTTGTAAGTCCAACCGTAGTCAGTACCGCAAAAGGTTCATTTAAATGATCATTGATTCCATTATCCGAAATGCATGTGGTTTCAATAATTGTTTTCGAGGCCTTTTGCTTCGACTTCCCTTTCGGTGATGAGACGGTAGGTGATGATGACCTACTACCCCTACTACTACTGCTACGCGTACCCTTGCCTCGGCGTAGTATGTTTACACGTCGGGAATGCCTGAAAAAAAAAAAAATAAATAAAAAACTAGTGGGGTGCATGGCATCGTGCCTTAAGGCAAATTGCTGGAATTTCCCGTACCTATAGAAACTATAAATTTTTGACAAAAATTTACTTTTTTTTGAAAAAAAAAAAGACTTTTTGAAGAAAAATTTATTTTTAAATATTTTGGAAATTTTGAACTTTTTTTTAAAGCAATCGTACTGTTTTAACTGCATAGAGACGAAATATCGAAGCGCGTAAGCGCCATGCCGCCGTCTAACAGATAAACATTGGTACGGAACCCATAGGAATGTAAACAAAATTTATACTTATTGGTAAAATTTCTATAAAATATCTGATAATTTGATGTGCATATGTCCAATAATAATTTTTGACCGCCAGATGGCATTTTTTTTTACTTTTTTCACTATATCTCCGAAACCGCTAGACCTGCCTTCATGAAAATTTGATCAGTTGTTCATCATGTTAATACAAGTAAAATGTTTTTTGAATTATTCAAATCGGACGCTCCGTTCTTTTAAAAACTGAGTTACCGTTTTTGGCACTTTTTGCCCCATATCTTCGGAACGGCTAGACCTTCCTTCGCTAAAAACTAATTAGCACATCTCCTTATTCTATTGAATCCTTATTATTATTGAATTATTCGAATCCGCACACACACATACATACATCCATTTTTTCTAAGGCATGCCAAAATGTTCAGAAACCTCTGAAACGTAAAGATATATAAAAATTTTCATTTTCGATTTTTTTCCGATTACTATAACTTACCCTACGGGAAGTTAACTAGTGGGGTGCATGGCATCGTGCCTTAAGGCAAATTGCTGGAACTTCCCGTATCCTAATTTAAATCTTCGTACGGAACCCGAAAAAATTTACACTAAATGTGTACACATTATTAAAATTACTATAAAATATCTGATAATTTGAAGTACATATGTCCAATAAACATTTTTTTGACCGCCAAATAACATTTTTCTAAATCATTTTTATTGAGAGTCCATAACCGCTAGAACTTCCTTCCCAAAAATTTAATCAGCTCTTCATCTTGTCAATACAAGTAAAATGTTTTTTGAATTATTAAAATCGGACGCTCCGTTCTCTTAAAAACTAAGTTATCGTTATTAATACGAATCGAATGTTTTTTGAATTATTCAAATCAGTGTTCCCGAAATCGTTGATGAAAATTTGTATCCGCACACACACACACACACTTCACACACACATACATACAAACGCATACATTTTTATAAGGTATGCCAAATTGAAGTTAATTATTAATCTTGCTTTAAAATTCTAAAATTTAGACAAAGTACTCTTCAATATGTCTGCAATGGCTATTAATACTAAAATGGACAAGTCTTGTTTCCTAATTGAAGATATTTAAAATTTTATGAACCAAGTACCTGTAATATTGTAGATCTAAAGCTAGTTAAAATTTAAGCTCAGTTAAGATAGGGTTTATATTTATACATTATTATCAATATATTAATCATTTTTAATATCGTGCCTATAATAATAATTAATTGATTTTAGACTTTGTTTCATATAGTCATTTTGTAGAAATGACTCAGATCAAGATTCAACAGAACAATCAACAAGTTTCAACTTCAAATGTTATTCAACAAGTTGAAAGCTGATAAGCGTTTACAAAAATATAAACAAAATTCTGAGATAAAATATAATAAATATACTGTTTCAACACCTGTTTTTCTGTTATTGCAATATTATAATTAACTTATTTGCAGGTAGGTTCTAGTTTGAACCAGCAAGATTCAAGGTTCAGCAGTCATGGGATACTGATAGACCCGTAAAGCTTTGGGGCAGAATAATTTGGAAAACATTATTTTAAAAAATATATACATTGCGTATTTATACATCTTTTATTATCATGTTTTTGGTTGAAAATTCACAATACTAACCCAAGTGATCTGGTGTTGATAATATTTCGGTTGGCGGTAGAATCGAGTCTTTGCATGGTGACGCACTCCCATAGCCTTCGGGATAATAATTTTCTATAAGCTGAAAGATAACGTTAATTATTAATAAAATGAAAATTTATATAGCACAAATATGCTTGTAAAATGTATATGTTCTAAATGATAAAACCGTTCGATTTTGCCTGATAATAAAAATAAAATAAACGAACACTTTAGATATTTATATTAATTTATAAAGTATGCGTGGTTCTTTTTAATAATATTGTTTTCATAGCAATAGCTAGTAATTGATTTATCAGGTTAATCTCCACTTTGAAAAATTCAATAATGTCAATGTACAAAAATTATAAACAAAACAAAATTCTTCTTAAAACAAACAAGATATAACCAATTGCAATTGAAATTTATTTGGGCTCATATGATAAAAATTGATAACACATCTATGGTAACAAAATATGTGCAGCAAAAGGATGTGGAAACATTCCAAACTAGCTGTAAGTGGAATTCTGTCTTAAGGCAATTAAGGCATCGCGCCTTAAGGCAAATTGCTGGAACTTCCCGTACCAAAAATTATTATTTTTTTAAAAACGATTAACATTTTTGAAAAAAAAATTACTTTGAAAAAAATAAGATTTTTGAGAAACTATAAATTGGCCAAAAAATTACTTTTTTTGAAAAAAAAATTTTTTTTAAAAAAAAATTTTTTTTAATTTTTTTTTTGTTTTTTTTTTGAAAAAAAAATTTTTCTTTATTTTAACATATTGTGGAAGATCTGAACTTTTTTCAAAGCAATCGTACTGTTTTAACTGCATAGGGACAAAATATAAAGCGCGTAAGTGCCGCGTCGCTGTCTAACGCATAAGCATTGGTACGGAACCCATAGGAATGTTAACAAAATGTATACTTATTGTTAAAATCTCTATAAAATATCTGATAATTTGATGTGCATATGTCTAATGATCATTTTTGACCGCCAAATGGCTCATTTTTTTACTTTTTCCTCCATATCTCCGAAACCGCTAGACCTACCTTCATGAAAATTTTATCGATTCTTCATCTTGTCAATACAAGTGAAACGTTTTTTGAATTATTCAAATCGGACGCTCCGTTCTCTTAAAAACTGAGTTACCGTTTTCGGCACTTTTTGCCCCGTATCTTCGGAACGGCTAGACCTGCCTTCGCCAAAAACTAATCAGCACGTCTCCTTATCAATACGAATCGAATGTTTTTTGAATTATTCAAATCGGTTGATCCGTGTTCCCGAAATCGTCGACGAAAATTTGTATCCGCACATACATACACACACATACATACATACACACACACATACACACACACATACACACACACATACACACACACACACACACACACACACACACATACATCCATTTTTTCTAAGGTATGCCAAAATGTTCAGAAACCTTTGAAACGTAAAGATATATAAAAAATTTCATTTTCGATTTTTTTGCGATTACTATAACTTACCCTACGGGAAGTTAAAAATAAATATAAACAATCAATGTTTGCGTTAAATATGGTCTTGAAATATGTTCAAAAAAAAAACTAAAAAACTAGTGGTGTATGGCATCGTGCCTTAAGGCAAATTGCTGGAACTTCCCGTACGTAACAAAATGTTCAAAAATATTAAATGTTTTCAAATAGATTAATATTAATATTGTAACATTGTCGAATATTTATAAGAATTGCTAAGAAACTGAATTGCAAAGTTGAAATTATTTGTTTAAAGTATATTAGAACTTTAGTCATAATTAAAATTAAAATCTTATTATTATACTTATAAATTATTTTCGACATACGAACAATTTTTTTTTTAAAAAATTGAAACAATTTTTTTTAAAAAGCAATTATTTTGTTAAAACAAGCAGAAAGTTCTTTGAATCATTCAAATCAGACGCTTAGTTCTCTCAAAAACTGCAATTTTTTGCACATTTGGACCGTTATCTCCGAAACGTCTGGACCTGCCTTTGCCAAAAACTAATCACTACTTCTCCCCGTAATTACGAATTGAATGTTTTTTGGACCATTCAAATCCGATGCTCCGATCTCCCAAAAACTCGATTTCTATTTTCGGCAATCTTTGCACCGTATCTCCGAAACGGCTGGATCTGCCTTTGCCAAAAACTAATCAGCACATCTTTCTATCAATAGGAATCGAATGTTTTTTTAACTATTCAAATCGGTTGATCCGTGCGCCCGAAAACGTGGACGAAAAATTGTATCCATACATACATACATACACACACACACACATACGTCCATTTTTTCTGAGGTATGCCAAAATGTTCAGAAACCTTTGAAACGTAAAGATATTTAAAAAATTTCATTTTCGAATGCCATCACAATAAAATTATGAAGGCTGTCATTACCTCAAAAGGAGCGCCCCCTCGACGAATAAGAACTTTTACAACATTTTTGCACTATTATTTAGAATAATAACAAATATTTGTATTTTCAATTTATTGTTTATTATATCTATGTATACTTATCTATAGTTTATTATTTTAAATTTTACTGCATATGATTACACAATTTAATTCAATTAATCAAAACCAAAGACTATTACTACTACTACGTAAGTTTGAGAACTTTCATACGATAATTCGCTTTTATACTTAAAATTAGATTTTTTTGTTAAGATAGATTGTAATTTAATAAAATAAAATAAAAATAATTGGTTTAGCTAATGTGATATTTACGCAACAATTTAAATAGCCCTTTTTTTAGGTCAGACCATCCACGTTGTATAAATTTATTTATTAAATTTATAATGAATTCGCCATTAATATTTTTTTCATATCAATTGTTATGACAATGTCTTAAGTCATTAAGCAAAAAAATAAAGCAAAAACTACATGCATAATATTTTCGCAAGACTGTTATTCTGATCAGATCTTTTAAATATCTATATGTTCAAAATAATATTATTTCATTTAAAAGAAATATTAAAAAAATAATATACGCATAAATGTAACTTTCATCCTATACCTCTACTTCCGGCTCTTTAACAGGATCAAGACATGACTCGGGTTTTCATCTGGTCATGCGGTTCGGGCATTTGTTTTTGTTCAATCACAAACACTTGGATCAAATTTAAACAACATTTTACCACACAACAGAAATTGTTTATCATAAATTTTATAACACCGACAAAGTCGAACTCATTATTTTAAAATATTCACTTCAGAAAAATCAATTTAATTTTTAACATAAAAATACAAAAACCACTTTCACGTTACATACCGTAAATACATAAACACAATATTATTCCCTCGCACGCATTGTGTTGCACTTGCACTTTAACAACTAAATTTAGACTTCGGAAATATTAAAACACATAATATATAATAGAAAAAGATAATAATAAAGTTCATAATAATTCAAATGCAATTATTTTTCATCGATATTAATTGTAGACATTAAAAATAATTATTTAAAGAAGTTAAACCTACTACGACCTTAAAAAGTCATGAGCTACTGCATCTGCCATCTGCCGCACTGAAGATTGCCGGTGGCCATTGTTCGTTCCTTCTCTTTCTTACCGGTACTTGCTTTACGCGCATTTATATTTTCAATCAAATAAAAATTAGCATTTTAAGAAAATTAAAAACTTATATGAAACAATAATTGTAAAATTGTTTTTTCTAGATCTTTTGTTAAAGATATTTTATCTTACCTTTATGAAATTCAAGGATATGATCTTGTTTATTTGGCGCGCAAATAAAATCTTTTTAAATACAGTCAAATCCTTCTTCAATCCACTTTGCATATATTTTTAAAATTAAAAGAAAATAATACTTAGCAATCAAGGTAAAGCTAATAAAATTACATTTTTACAGCAATTTTGTACACTAAATTATATTAAACAATTATTCTTTGTGTGATCCTGTGAGAAGCGCGCCTTCTGTTCCTGTTCGAATTGACTCATAGGTTTGAATTTCCGCGCCAAAAATTATTCATCTGCTACTCTTATGACGATTTATATTATAAACTGCAAGTGATTGCATTTATTTGATTTATATTCAACTATTTAAATGCAAAATAGTGTCTTTAGGATAAAAAAAAATAGTTTTAAAAATTGTATTCCTAAAATTTAACATGTATATAAAATTAACATATTTATATATAATCACATATCTTATAAAAATAAATAAAGCCTTAAAAACAAACAATAGAATATCACTGGTGCCATTTTCATGCATAAGCCCACAAAATAATTATCATTGTGATCACTTCATTACTGCAAGAAGCAATTATCTTTTACAGGATTTGATTCTTTTAAACTGGTTGCTGCTAAAAGTTCTTTCAAATGTTCAGCTGCTTTCATCCATTGCTCTACCTACACATTTATTATTTATATTGTAGATTATCAGTCAATAATATTATTAGTTGATTTAGTAGGTTTTGACCTGGTTATGTAAAAGGATCTTCCGGTCTCCAGCAGGCTCTTTTATAAGAATAGGCATAAGTTGACTTAATGCTCCTTGCAGAGTTTCTAAAGCATTGTTGTAAGAACCCTCAGCAATATATAACTCCCCTGTCCTGCCCTGATCTAGTGCTGAGAGTAAAGTACTGTTTTTGCTGCAAAGCTGACCTAGATTACAAATAATTCATTTTGAAAGAGATTTACTTTTTGATTGAATTCAATGCGTACATTTTATTTGAATGCAACTTTTTACTCAGCAATAACTTACGCAATATTTTAAAATCTTCAGAAGGTGATAGTGCTTTTTGTATGCTTGATATTTTAATCTGTTTCTGATCAGATAGTTCTTTTAATGAAGTAGAAGGTTCAGATAAGTTGGGTTTACTTTTCTTTAAAATATTTTTTAAAAGTTCTGCTCTTTGAATATATTCATGAACATTGTTTCTAATTTTCAGTTTTCTGTCATTATCAGGTTCAGCTGAATTTAATAAAAACAACAAAACTCGAGAATAGCTTCCAATTTAGGTAACTAAATAAATAATTATATAATATGGAATACCTATTAAAAATGGTATCAAATAACTTAAAGCTTCACTATATAAAAACACAGCCTGTTCAATGTCTTGCTGTTTATCTGCTTCAATAGCTTCTTCTACAATTTTTATAGCTTTCCTATAATTCTCTTCAGTAGGCATATGCTTCAAATCCAGAAACTCATGTGCAAAAAATGCTTCATATGTAATTCTTTTACTAGGATCAGATTGCAATAACCTTTTTAACAAATCTTTGCATTCTGGAGAAACTTTAGAATTTGCTGGTAACTGTTCAAAATTTATGAGGAATCAGTTTGAGATAGTATAAAGTTTGACTATAATAAATTTGCAGTTTACTTAAGTGAGTGACCACAAATATTAATTTAATAAACATACATCTATTGGAGTTTGGTTTTTTATTTTTGTAAGAAGCTCTTTTACAGTTTGTGAAGAGTAAGGAGCTTTACCAAATAGGCATTCATAAAGAACAACTCCGACGGACCACAAATCTGCCTTTGCATCATATCTGCCTTTAAGTATAACTTCAGGAGCCATATATAGAGGTGAACCTCTCACTGATGTCATTTCTTTATCAGGTAATGTGTGCACTGCAAAACTGTATCATGAATTAACTGCTTAATATTATAACTCAAATTATAAATTAATATCTTAAAAACTTATTGAAGAATGTAAATCAAGATGTTCCTCACAAAAGCAAGTTACATAAATAAGAATGTTTACAATACATAAATAAAATATTTATAATTTTATTTTCCATAATCTCACCCAAAGTCAGCCACTTTTAATGTCAAATTGGGATTATTAGTAAGAAGCAAATTTTGGGGCTTCAAATCCAAATGACAAATATTATGTTCCTGCATATATTTTAAAGCTAATGCCAATTGTTGTAGAAATATTTTGCAATATAGTTCAGGTAAACAAGTTTGCTTTTTAATATAAGATGATAAATCACCAGCTGTACAATATTCCATAATTATAAAAATATGTCTGAAAAGATTATAAGACAAATTATAAAAGATGACCGATAATTTAAATTTGTACAGAAATTTTAGAAGGTTTATTACATAGTAATAAAAATTACATTTATTATTTATGACTTACTTTTCATCCCAAAGAAAGTCTATCATTTCTACAATATGTTCATGTTTTAATGTTTTGAGAAGTTTTATTTCTGATATGATATTATCCACAGCAGATCCAGAAAGATTACCTTTCAAGATGCATTTAATAGCTACTGGTTTCTTTACTTTTTCTTTACCCTTTTAATTAGATATTAGATTTGGTAAATTTAAGTGCATAGCATAACATTTTTTTGTTATTATTATTGTTATACATACTTGTTTAAATCCTTTATATACGTTTGAGTAACTACCACTTCCAATTTTATTCACAATGTCATATCCAGGAACAATAGGATTTGACATAGTTAATAATTTTATATATTTCGTTGCCGTTAGGAACCATTTATTAAGATCAACTATCAACAAATATGATCATCTGTCAAACGCATGCTGATAGACATTCGTGAAGACAACTTAGACATGATGGCAGCACGAATTTAAATGAAGGAGTTGATTTTAAATGTGAGTAAATAATACATTTACAGAAATCTGGTATTTACTAGTTATTAACGCATTATTTTCGCGTCTGCTCTAGAATATACTAGCTATACCAAAATATAAACAATTTTCATCTATGTTCTGTATTTCAATATAACATTTTAGAATTTTCAAAATACATACAAACAATTTTATAAAATCCAAATATTTTAAAAATTTATGTCCTGTTACTAAAAATATTTTCTGCTACATATTAAATTTAGTATGTTATTCCAGAAACTATCATTCCTCTTTTTTCAAATTATTGGCACTGTGCAAGCTTGAATATCACATTATAGCCAATTACTCCAACATTTGCTTTAAGCCAATCAGTAAATTATTTTTTGGTGTACAAGTAGGTGGATCAAGTTTCTGAAGAATAACACTGTATCCGAACTCCTGAGCATATAATATTCTATCTTTATCTATAAAATCCATGCATATTTCACCTTGTGCAGTTTTAGCATTCTCAGCATCATGAGTTTGATCTGCGCCATGACCTAAAATTAAATACTCATGTAGTTTAAGATGCTCTTTGTAAACCTTACTTCTTGGATATTCTAAATGATGACATTGGTGAACACTTCCATAACAACAAGGGCAACATATAAATTTGGCCTCTCTTTCTATGCAATGTTGCATTACTAAATCTGTAGCAACTCCACATGCATGTAAGGAGACTCCTATTTGGAATTCTCCTTTAAAGAAGTCTAAATTGCACTGAAGAAATGAAACATTATTCAAACCAAGTTTAGATACTCTTGACTTTGCTCTGTTCATAGACTCTTCTTTATTTTCTAAAAGAGAGATATGACATTGAGGCAGCATGAAGGCTATTATTATACCTAAATGACCACTTCCACTACAAAAATCAATAATATGATCACCAGGCTTGGCAATTTCAATAGCCGCTTTTGCAAGGTTTTCTAGCTGCTGAAATTTACGCACTCGTCTCTTTTCTGGCAGATGTCCACCCTCAGGAAGTGCATCGAATGGAAGAGAATTCCAATCCAAGTTCTTTGTATAAAAAGATCCTTTTACAGATTTTTTAATATCTAATGGTACGTTTGCAAGGAGTTTTAATACATTATCTATATCATTCTGTTTAGTATAATTTTTATTTCTACATTTGTAGTGCTTTGGATTACTTTTATATAAACTGTACCCTTCAACAGAAGGAAGAAGAGTTGCATTGGGTTCACATGGATTTTGTGGAATATGCAGAAATTTTATAGATTTCATCAAAGATCCATCATTCTCCAATGAAATTTGTTTATACCAATTAATAATCAGAGGCATTTTTTCAGACAATATTTGCAAACTTACATAGTGGAATAGAATATAAAAACATGGGAATATGATTACATCCGAAAGAGTCATTTCTATTCCCTCTGCATACTTATAAGTTAATGGAAATTGATCAACTTTTGCGTTTGAGCCACTCGTCAGATTCCTTGGAACTGTTTCTGATGTAATTTTTTTGTCCTTCAATAAATCTTGGGCAACCTTATATATATTATGAAGCCTTACAGGTTGCCCTAAATGATGCTCAAATCTAGCTATATCTTTTGGAATTGAAAACAATCCATTGTTAAAATTACAACCAATTGATTGAATTACTGATTTTAATGCACTTATCATATCAATTTCACAAAATTTAGTCCACATGGATGCTTCATTAGGAGACATAAGACATGCATTTTTGAATCCCAACAATTTTGCTATATTTTCTTGTTCACATGTTTGTTGTGACAACATAACTATTTTTCTGCACACACTACATAAACCAGCCACAACAGCACTTGAACCAATCAAAATTATTGGCAAGGCACATGATTTAACAATTGGTTCTAAATTAGTTTCATTAAGCCAATTAAAATTAAATTGTAGTAAGTCTATTCCAAAACTTAGAGTTGGGGCAGTGCTATAGGACTTGGCAAAATATAACAATATCTTGGAATTGCAATATTTGTAAGTGAGCAGTGTAATCACTGATTCCAAAGTGACATGATAGCTAAAACACTCATGTTCCTGTTGTTGAACAAAAACTTGAATATAAAGTTTGGCCATTGTTAAAAAAATATATTTTTATTACAAAATATATTTTCAACCAAATATTTAAATTAAACACTTTGTGCTAATTGTCTTTGAACCCTCTGTAATGCTCTTCGATCTAAAGTATGCCGCCTTGAACTTGAAATTAAACAAGTTATAAATGCAGAAACGAACATCAAAGCTTCAAATGCCCAGAAATTCCTTTCGTCCAGCCAAGCTACTCTATCGCAACTTCTAGTAACAGTTTCACCACTTGCACAGCGAAGGAGTTCTTTATTATGAGTGTGAATGCAAACTCCTATAGATCTACTCTTTATTTCCAATTCTATAAACAAGAAGTATAGCCCTAATTATTTTCTGCGCTATAAATTATGGAATTACAGTTTTAATCTACGCGTACCTGTGCATGGATGGCAGTCTTGTATAACTTCATAATCCTCTTTTAACCAGCATGTAGAATTATTTTCTATTGGAAATTGTTTAGTTCGTGGTGGTGTCCATCGAGATTCCACAATTAGGACAACTATTGTCAATCTATTATAAGAAAAATTACATATGTCATAATGTGTGTATGTAATTACATAATAATTAATAGTACGTACACGGCTAAAGATGTTATGCCCAATAACATATGCCTTTTAGGGCATGATTCTATCATCTTTATTTATGAATATTTTTTCCAAATGTTCACTCAAAATACATAGAATCTGTTGCTTTATCAATTATATATTGGAATTTGTGGCACATGCTGATTTCTGACATTTAATTTCTTAATTATCGTTCATACAGTTAACAGGTTATTTTCACGCAACTGAATCTAAATTATTTCGTATTGCTCACTTCTTTGACATATGTCTTTATCATAATTATAATCACACAGTAGTACCAATTGCTTATATTGACGAGTTCATTGATCATATAATTACCTGGATCGTTAATCCTAGACAATATAATAATCCTTAATACGCTTGTTTTTTCGTTCGTTTGATGTACATTTATATATATTATATAATAAATTATGTTTTGTAATTTATTTATTATTATTGATATATTAACATCCGCTTTTAAATAAAATCTGCTAATCAGTAATCGTCACTTTATTAAAATTAATTTTTATATACTTTAACTAATACACGTAATATATTTTTACGATAGAAGAATGTTTTCTATAATTGATAAGATTTATAAAAGTACAAGTTTCTAACTCAAAGAAGTTTCAAAACTTAGATTGTCGCCCCAGTTTAATGCATAAAGACTATAATCTGTTTCGTTGTAAATAATATCATTTATGGTAAAGGCTTCCCCTCGAAGTCCACCTGAAAATATAGTTAATTTCATCTATATGTAAATTCTTCTTAAACATCCACCACATAATAAATACTACTATAATTAACTATATTACCTGAATGTCTCGACTGTACAATTAAATTTCGCACAAACAGAAGAAAAGCTTCCACATTTTCTGCGTCTTTAATTTCTGCCCACCGGGGAAAAGAAAGTAAATCTTTGTAGATCAATGATGAGTAAAATAGAAACATTGTCCAAGTGATGAAAAGTGTTATAAAACTTGTCCACAGACCACCCTTAAGCTGGTAAAATGTTATGAATACATAAGTTCATTAGTTGTACTATCAACAAATTATATATCTTTAAAAATTTCTATTATTACCATTTGTCTAGGTTTGATATGATAAGTGGTTCTTAGGATGGTATTTGGCGGTGTTCCGACTGGCATCAAGAAACAATATGAAGCTACAATAGTAGCCGGCAACATAAAATACAAAGGATTAACTTGCAAATTCTGGCTCTGAAATAAAAATACTAAAATAATTGTTCTCAATAAAATGTTAATAAAAAATCTATTACCATCGTGTTTAAAATAGGCAGTGTGATGCTCGCCACAGCTACGTTTGAGATAAATTCGGTTAATATTTTAATAAAAATTAATACAAGTAATAATAAAAGTGCTAATGGCACAGCAGCTAAATGCTTCAACTTTTCTGCTAAGTAATCGTTCATTCCTGATACTAAACTGCCTTGGGCCAAAGCATAGCTGCTACCTAATAAATGATACATATTATAAACAAATACAATATGGTAATCATCAGATTTCTATTCAAAGTAACCTAATAGTAGAATAAAACCCCATGGCATTCTTCCAGCCAAAAACTTCCAAGTAACAAGTGGATCTTCAGAACCCTCAGGCAAAGTTTCTAGAATTACATTAATTTTTCAGTAATATTATTCAATGCTAAAGATTCAATAGTATACTTGGTCTTTTCTTGAAAAAGTTCAGCACATCCAAAGTCTTCGGAATGAAAAACATTATTACAAACAGCAACATGACTGCTGCAGAATCCCTTATATATAATGCCTGTCTGATACAAAAAGTCTTGTAAAATAAATTGACATTGTTAATAGATTGTAATTTTTATATACTTACTCTCTTTGATTCAAATGTCTGTTGAACAACCTCACATATCCAGGCATAAAGTCTGGATGCCTTATAAAGAAAAGTAAAATCATCAGCAAAAAAAAGCTTATTATCATACATTCGTGCCAAGTTATGGGTCCCAGATCCGCATATTTCCGTTTAATTACTTGTTTTATTGAGTTTCTTGTTTCCTCATCAATATGGATAGCTTTAGCAGCATCACTGTTTTTTCTGGAAAATTTAAAAGATTATAATCATAGGAAGAGTCATGAAGCACATAATTCACCTAATACACAATTACATACCTCCATAAGCCAAAAAATATAAACTGCAATCCCAATTCCATCAAAACAGCATTGATTATCATAGGCGGCAGGAATAGTATCATCCAGTACACAAAGCTTACATCGCTATCAGGATATAATCTATTTCGGAAATAAATTACAGATTTATTTATCTTGTATCTTATATCTTATACATTTATTATTAATATACTTACGTTTCGTATGCACCCTTCAACATCATATTAGTGCCTGTGCCAATTATTGTGGACGTACCACCAACTGTAGAGGAAAAGGCAATGACCAAAAAATAACTCACAGTCAATTTTGTTGGTATCGGACTGAAAATACAAACATTATTATTTAAAATACTACTGCTATATATTAGATATCATTATGCTAACTATAAAAATTACAGTTATAAAAAGTAAGTACAATCAGGCAATTATTGATATATTTTATAAAAAAAGACATACTCATCAGGAAGATCCTGCTTTCCGAGATTGGCATCTGGCCCTGTAGCAATTCTATTTATATAAACCTTGCTTACACCTTGCTGTTATTGTAAATAAAGTTAATCTAGTTGTATTTTATATGCAATAAATCAAAAATAAACTTACATTTTCCAGTTCGACAAGAATTGCCATAACTATTGGGCACATCAAGGCAGTGGTAGCAGTGTTTGTTATCCACATTGAGATGAAAGTTGTTACTGCTGCAAAACTTGCATGCAATCTAAATAAAAATAGTAAAATATTATTAACAATAATAGAAACAACTAGAGAAAATATTTCAAACTGTTCCCGTGGAAATGAAAATATGGATTAAAGATCAGTAGAACCAGAATTAGGAAATTAGGAAATTAGGAAATTTATTCAGGATGCCCACTGAATCTTTATCAAAAGCCTGATATAATATACTTATTATTGATTACGGCCTATGACAAAATAGATAAATAACTATTAATTAGTATCAATTATACTTTGGATGACTACATCCTACTCGAGACATGATGGCGTAAGCAACTCTTTTGTGCAAATTGCAATATTCTATTGCTATTGCCATAAGCATTGTTCCCAAACATAAAGCCACAGCATCTGTAAAGTACCATCTGCAAGTTTCAGAAGAACTCTGAAAATAAAAATATTATTCAGTGAAATCATATCTATATGAAAACAGTTGATAATTTTAATAATCTACCATTACTCCTAACAGAGGAAAAAAGAATATAGGCATTAATGAAGTAACTGGTAATGGAATTCCTTCTGTTATCCAACATGTGGCCATTACGCACAGCACATATAAACAATTGAATTTCTGAAAAAACATTGAAATTTGGGTAATTTTAAATTACATCAGCAATACTTAATAATATTAACATCAAACAAATTATTGTTTTTCTACCGGTTCAAAATTGTTGCAGATCATAATCGGCATAAATATGATTGGGCATATTGTAACAATTATTGTTGCCCAATATGTGTAAAAGAAGTACGTTATTCTAACTCCAAAAGGATATCTGAAATTTAAATATTAATTAAATATAAATTTAGTGCGATATGTATTTATTTAATTATACTTACGGATTTCCTTGGTCAGCCGTATCCTCCATTATATAATTTTTTTATATAAAAATTGTCAGATAAATTTTACGTCAGTATGAACTTTGTTTTAAGTATGCATTTTGACAAATCATTAAGCGCAATTGTTTGGAATTATAATAAATTTTAAATTAATTAATAAAAATTGACATTTTCATTTATTATTTATTATCGCATAATAAAATTTAAAAAATCTGCTTAAAACTATGCGATTATAGTTATCATCCAAATTATAGTTGCAATATGCAATAAAAATCCATTCACAATTCATGTTATTATATTCTTTAATTCCACAATCGCTAATCAATATAAATGTTAACAACAGTAACTAATGTCTATTGACAAAATTAGTGTAGTCAAAGAGAAAACGTCGGATGATAAAAGTATATTCTTGCAGCATGACTCAATAGTTTTGAAAGAAATTTCATGGATTGAAAGATTCTCACTGTTTCGCCCAGCTTGGGAATGTATTCAATTCAGGGTATACTAATTTTCCGTATGAGATGAAAAGTAACCAATTTACAAACAAATTCACAAAACTAGGCCACAAGCTACCGATCATCTGAAAAATTTAATGATAAACATGTTAACAAATATAAATGAAATATTACATAGTCCTTAATTGTTATTTTTTTAATTATAGTGATACGTTTCAATAACAGCTCATTGTATAAAGTAATAATTGAAAAAATTACCATTCTTGGTGTAGGTACAAAAGCATATTCCCTGATAATCGCATTAGCTGGTGTGCCTACTGGCAACGCAAAAGCGTGTGAACTTGCTATAGTTGCCGGCATCATCAAATTCATAGGATGAATCTTTAGCGTTTTACTACTCTAAAAAAATAAAACCCATAAATATGAGATAAATTCATCATCATTACAATCATTACCATAGCTGCTAGAATAGGCAATGTGAGGCTAGCCACAGCGATATTCGTTATGAACTCGGTTAGAAATTTGACAAAAATCATGACGACTAATATCAAAAGGATTGGATTCAAACCAGAAAAGTAATTTAGTTTTCCACCAATGTAATCATTCATGCCAGAATCCTTTCCTGCTTTTGCTAACACAAACCCGCTTCCTGAAGAATAAATTTTAAATTCAAAATATGATTGTACACATAGTTTGTACAAATGTTATAATATGCTAAAATTACCAAGCAAGAAAACAAATCCCCATGGTAATTTATTATTTATATATTTCCAGGTAATAGCAGCCTGGCCAGTTTTATCCGGTATGTAGTCTAAAAAATAATTTAATCAATTTCAGCAGTAGCAGTATATTATTCTAGTCAGTGACTTTTGAAAGCTATTGATTTCTTACCAGGCTTTCTTCGACAAAAATTAAAGCAATCACATTTTTTTGGCAGAATAAACATCAAGATAATTAACAATACGACAGCTGCAGCATCTTTCAGATATTTCTTCTGCCTAAAAATATCAAAATAAAACAAAATCAACTAGTTAGATTATGTAAAATTTAACATATTCAGTTTTATAAACTTACTGATCTGCTGGTATATTCTTATTAACAAACAGCACACTGAATCCTGGCATAAATCCAGGACTTCTGAAGAAGAAAAGTAGAACCATTAAAATAAACAGAATTAGAATTGTAATTTCGTGGCAAGTCATTGGGCCAAGTTCCTTGTATTTTGCGTTTATAACCTCTTGTATGGACTGCTGTGCCTCGGGTGAAATGGTTGCAACCTTTGCGTCTTTGCTTTTAGGCCTGAAATAAAAAACTCTCATAAATATCATAAAATATCGAATGTATTTATTCCTCCATTGATTAATGATCTTATTTTAAAACGGTTCAAAAGAAACAAATTGTAGTAAAAAAAGTTTTTATGAATAGACTTGTTTTTTAATAAGCATACGTGCTTGCACGTAAGTAGATGTCCAATTGAAATTTCATTACATAAAATCAATTAAAGTAGCTTTGTTAGCTAAACCTATGAAATAATTACCTGAACAATCCCAAATATTGTATTTGCATTCCCAATTCTACGAATATTATTGTTATTACCATCGGTGGTAGCCACACAATCAACCATAGAGGAAAACTTAGTTCCACACCGCTATATATGCTAAAATTTGAAAAAATATCGATAAGCATAAAACTTTTTTAATATTTAAGATAAAACATAACTTACTTTTCGAAAATACCCTTGAGGGTCATATTTGTCCCGGTGCCAATCAAGGTTCCTGTACCTCCAATAGTAGATGCATAGGCCAACGTCAAATAATATGCTACAGTCAATTTCGTGGGCACAGGACTAAAATAAAAATAAACGTTTATCTAAAAATATTAAAACTAAAAATACTGGGATATACTAAGATACTGTAATTAAAACAATTACATATATTATAGATCTGTTTGAAAGATTTCAATTGCAAATCGCGTTGATTAATTTTTAGTGAACATAATATATCAATTTTTATCGATTAAGTACATGTACCTGAAAGTTCATGCAACTCGACTTAAGGCAAAATGCCACTTATAACTACTTTTTTATAAGTTTATGAAAAACATATTCTCTTACTCATCAATTAATTTCTGGTCATTGATATTTGCATTGGGACCAACGGAAATTCTGTTTTCGTATACAGTTGATAAGCCTTGCTGCGAACAAATTGAAATATTGATATTAATGAGAATAAATTGATTACATATATAACAATAATATTAATTATGTTCAATGTATTTAAAAATATATAAATACAAAGTTTTTCCTTTTGACATAGTTCAATTTCATGTCATAATGATTCTAGAAGTATGAGAGCAAAACTTTCCACAATAGTTTAGTAAAATAGTGGTTAATTAGCGTTGATTTATTTGCACACATGACATTATATATACGTTTTTAATTTATAAATATAATTCATTCAAATGAACATGTGTTCTTGTTTCCGTTACAGTGAACATATTTGTATGTATTATACTTGATGGTACTATCAACAATTAAGTAAGAATAAGTATAAAACCACAAGTTCTATTGCCTATTTATTTGAAACAAAACTAATTTATTAGCATAAAATAACTTACATTTTCCAATTCTGTCAAAATTGCCATCACTATTGGGCACATCATGGCCGTTGCAGCCATATTTGTTAACCACAACGATACAAACGAAGTGAGCGCTGCAAAACCTGCATGCAACCTAAAAATAATAATAGATTTATTAATAAATAATAAAGAAATAATTAAAATAATTATTTGAAATAATGTGTAATATTCATCATATTAGTATAATTATATATTATTGTATATAATCTATAGTTTCCATTGCAATTATATGACAATAATTTCTAGATTTTTATATGTTCAAAATGGCGTTTGACATCTTTCGACAACATTTATAAATTGTTAATAAATCTAGTTAATTTATATTGTGATTTTTTATTTATTCATTTAATTCCGTAAATAAATTTAGTTGTATTATTAAAGTTACTTACTTATAATGACTGCAACCAATGCTTTTAAGGATCAGAAGAGCAAGTCTATTGTGCAAATTGCAATATTCTATTGCTATAGTAAACACCAAGCTTCCTATACACATTATATTTGTGTCTGTCAAATATTCCATACATGCACTCCTGGTATCCTATTAAATGAAATGAATACTCAATAATTTTCTATGTGTTGCACAATTTACATTCCTTCAAAATTAATGAAGTACAAGCAAGTTATGATTATATCAAGGATACCTCAGCGCAGTAGAAGTGAAACTTCGATTTGTGGTAGCGAAAATAATAATGTGTTTAAATTTATTTTTAATGTACTCACATTATTTTGTCTTAAAGAGTCTTAACGGCAAATATGTTTGCAAATTGTGTAATGAGTTGAGAAAATGAAATAAATTCTTCAGGTTCAAAACAAGAGGTGGATTAGCGTCCTTTGACATTTGACGATAAGTTTCAGTTGAACGTTTAACGCAATCTTGTTTCATATCACATTAGTAATTATTTTCCTCAAAAATTACTAGCTCACTCAATGCGATGATAAACTATGGTGTGCTCAACTTAATTAATATACAAAATATTATATTTTCTCACCAAAACTCCTAATAATGGAAAAAGTGGAATTGGTATAAGCGCCGTTACGTTGATCGGAATCACTTCCGTAGTCCAATAAACCGCCATGAGAATAACCACGTACATGCAATTGAACTTCTACAAGAACAAACATTATGGATACCAACAGGACAAAATAAAAACCGCAAAATTTGAATAGCTAAAAACTTTGACGTACCGGATCCATCTTATTCATAAATATTAAAGGTGATAATATAATTGGAACAATTATTATGATGAATGTCTTGTAATAAATTTTCATATATGTAGCGAATCTTTTCCCGCCAGACATCTCGGCGTTGCTGCAAGTTTGGAAGAATTAAATAACCATTGAAAATATGAATATGACTTCTATAAAACTCATTTTTACCCGGGATCTCTACGTCCCTCTTCCATATTGATCTATGTGAAATATAGTAATTAAATCAACTTACAAACTTATATGTTAAAGATTTGAAAACGAATTTGAAGTATACATGAATCATTTGTTTCAATCAAACTTGTCAAGTTGAATCATACTTGAAATAAATAAAACAATAAATAAAATCTAGCAATCTTGCATATAAACTTGAAAAAAGAATTATACAAGTTCTTTATCCTCAGGTATGAAACTCACAACTTTTATTTATTAATCAATTTATCAATAAATTACGTAAGCATATCAGCAAATTTTTTATCCATTAGGATTATATATTAAACAATTAATAAAAATCATCATATTTTTATTAAGCAAAATGTTTAATTTCTATAATTAGTTGTTTTAATACAATATTAGATAATTTACAAGTATACAATAATATTAGATTACATAAATAAAGCAATAATACTCACAAAATTTACAAAATTTATAGTCATCACCAACAGAATTAGCAATGAATTCAATTCTCGCCAAAATAATAGAAAACTGGCGACATTCTATTGTTTTGGCAGAATTCGTTTTATAAAGTTACAATTTATACAATATAATTCGAATGCAAATTAAAATAATGACTGCTGATAAAATATTAGTAAATATACTAAAATAATAAATATATCTATTAATATATTATTTGAATCATATAATATATCTATATAACGTTAATAAATCAATAAATTAGTTGGTGTAACCTAGATGACAAAATATATATTCATCATGAACTAAACTTGCAAAAGCATGTAGAACACGATCTTGTTTTTGTATAATTAAAATAAGTAAACGGTCATGTGGGACAAATAAAAACTTAACATATTCTAGCAAAATCAATATTAACTGGCAAGAATTAACTTCTTCAAAACAAAAACAAAATTTGTTATAATTCTATTAATCATATACTCTTAAAATAAACAGATCATTTGCTGCAATATTAAATGTCATTCATAAATAAGCTTCAGACAATAAACAAATGGTCCCTTTCGTCTTTTTTTAAATTAAATTTAGACATTACTCCTTATGACAGTACGAAGTTTAAGTAGCGCTTAAAAATAATATGACAATATAAATTATATTATTAAAAACATAAAATTAATTTTGCTATGTATCAATCGATACATAAAATATCAGTTTGACTGCATAATAATAATACACAAATAAGTTAAAAAATACTGACTTATTATTAATTGCAATTTTTTTCGATTTTCAAGTTTAGAGATAAAGCTTTGAATTCAAGTCAGCTTTTCAAGCTGTGTTTATATTTACTTATAAGGCTAGAGCGAATGTATGGTTGACTAATCTATCTGAAGGGGGCTCTCTGATCCATTGGAATGGGTCTCCTGCGGCCGTTCGTGGTTCCGGAGGATGGCGTCTGACCGGAACTCCTGGTTGTCGTGACGGTCGTTTCGAAAAGGGAAACATTGCGCTGGCTGCCCCCTGGGGTCGTTTCGCCCCTTCTGAGGGACGAAGTTGGTGTTGTGCTTCCGCTGGCGTTACGTCTGTTTAATAAAAATATAGAGAAATATTAAATTTGAGAAAATCTAGAATAATTTTGGCACACGAAGACAAAACACTTGATGATGGGGACAACAGTCCAACAAAATATGAAGTCGAATGTAAAAAATCACTGGATCAATCATTTTTGGGTATACCACATATAGCCCTATATGACAAGGGAACTTTTCTTTGAAATGAATATATGCATTTATTTGCAAATATTTAATCTTTGTAAATGAAATGAAGCAATAAATAATAATAGGCAAGCTATGTATGAACACAAAAACTAAGCACATGTGTTTGAACATATAACTAACACACAAACACGCTGAATTATCTTTATAATTATTTTAGAAAATATTTTATTTATATCTGTATTAAAAATATTAAATATATAAGTAACTATACTAAGGATGTATACAGAAAAGATAATTAATTAATGAGTCCCAGAAGCAGAACTAATATTTTCAAAGTTGTATTCATACTACAAGTAACTATTGGTGTCTTGTTAATAATATGTCTTAAATATATCTTTATATATATAAGTCTGAACATTGAACAAAGAATATGAACTCGTAGAAAAGTTGTTTTGTAAATATATCACCCTGACACCAAAGAAAACTTCTAACACCATTCAAAGAAATATGCAAGTTATTATATAAGTATATAAAAGTGAACATGAAAATGTTATATTGATAGCAAAACAAATTTTTGAAAACAATCACAAAAACGAAAAACACGAACACATATAACAGTTCGTTACCCCGGAGGATCAGACGTGCTATGATGTCGTACTGGAACAGGAATCCTAGATTGGCTGCATGCGAAAATAGAAAGTTATTAGAAAAATTAGTATCAGTGCAGAAAGAAACAATAGAGATTAATGCATAAAAATTAAAGTATATCATACATTTGTGCTATATTTTAACAATAATGTTAGTAAGACTACTGAAAGAAATAAAGATATAACAGCTGATCTTCAAAAGATTTTTAAAAAACCCATGAAAAAAATAATTTAAATTTAATATATTCAAATAATAAATGTTTTCTAAATGAGTGTATCAATAATTAACTTAACTTGCTGAAAAATGTGGTGAATACATCCTAATTGGTATTAAATAAACTTTGAGAATTTCGAATTGACATAATCTACTAAACCTTTACTGACAATGAGTAGAAATATAATCAAGTAAAGTACCAGTTAACCAAAGAATATAAAGTATAATAATATATTACAGATGTAAAAATAATTATAATTGCATATATTATTATTTACCTGTTCATGGAAGCTGTTAACGTCGGTATACTTGAAGCACGACTCATTCCACCAGATCTGTTATTGTAGTCATGAATGGTTAAAAGTTGTTAATTGAATGGTATATTTTTAAGATTATCAAACAAAATGACATAAAATGATTCTGTTAAAAGAGAAACACCACTGTGAATTTTGAAATAAATATTTTTAAAATCCACCTCAAATGTTATAGTGGTGTTACCTCTTAACGGTGCTTTAAGCAGTTAAAAGATTTAAGTAATTGAATTTTGGATAATAATAATAAATTTAAATTGAAGCATGTTTTTTTTAGAGAAGGCATATAGAATATTTTTAAAGCTATAAAATATTTGAGCATTAATGTGATATTTAGAATATTGTATTGTTGCAAAGAAAAAGCTTTTGAAATTATAGCTTTGATACATCCATGGCCATTACCAGGTGAACATTATTATTATTTCGATTTGTTGAATATATATTGTAATAGTGATTTAAATTAAAAGCAATTTTATTAAGTATCAAAGATTTATGACCTCGACATTGTGGGTGTGTTCAGTCCGCTGCCGCTGGGTGTACGAGGTCTGCTGGTAGACAACCTGGTACTTGCTTCCATTCCTACAGATAATCTGGATGGTCTAGGTGTTGTGGTGGTGTCACTTATTTTCCTGCGCATTGGTATACGCGATGGTGTTCCATCTAAAATAATAATAAAAATAAGTAAATAATAAATAACTAGGTAAAACAATATAGGCTATTGTTGAAAGTAGAAGTCTTTAATGGGATTTTGGAAACCATAATATTTTTGAAATATATCTTACCAGTGCTATCAAGTGATAAATCGGATCCGTGACGGGATGGTGGTTTGGAACCTGCACGACTAACTGGACGTGAATTTGGTTTAGATCCGCCACGGGAACCTCCTGGTGTCAAAGTTGTTGATCTGCAATAAATTTGAAGCACCATAAAAAAAAATCAAACAATAATGTGATGAATTCATGGTATTAGAAAATTCAAATAGCTAAGTACTATAATAAATGCTAATATGACTTATCAGAATCGAATTGGATAATAGCTGTTGCAATGTAGTTTTGCTTATACATCAATTACGATCACACATTGGGATTTATCAGATGTTAAAAATTATAATTGTTCCTCATTACCTGATCCCAGAAGTTGTAGTTGTTCGTCTTGGTGTGTAACGAGAGCCTCCATAGCTCAAGCTGTTGGATAACGATCCTTCATTATCGGACAAACTGTCTGGTGTTCCAGCTGATAGAGAAGACTTCCTGGTTTTACCCATGGCTACACTTCTTTGTGAACGTTCCCGTACCTAATTCAAACATATACATTAAATTATGAAGTCAAAATGATACTGGAGAAAAAATTGAAAAAAAAAAATTCAATGATGAAAAAAATAATATAATTTTTCGCGTATTTTAAATTCTAAGCAAATTAAAGTTACTAAGATATGTTATAAATTTATTTTATAAAATAAAATATAATCTTATTTTTTAAATGAAATGTAAAATATATAATGAGCAATACGTATTGAAATATGTTGAAATATTGAAAACAAAGATTAACGTTGTATAGTAAACTTCAAAAAATATTTGCTAAATTACTTATTCTAATGCCAATATTTATTAAAAATATATAGGGATATATTATTATAAATATACCTAGGTTTGGGGTACCTTATCGTTTACATTTTATCCAATTTTCTAGCTATTAATAATTCAAATCAAATTTAGATATATTTATAAACCTACGCCAGCATATTTATACAGATTTCAATATATATGAAAATAAATTAATTTTGCTTGATCAAAACGCCCAAGAAACCAGACAACCATTACTATGAATCTTATTACTGAAAAGTTACATAATTTAAAAGTTTTTCCCAAAATTCTTGTTTGCATTAAAAATTTAAAAAGTAGTCAATTATTTTTCCACTTTCATTCCATCTCAATGAATCAACATCCAATTATCACCTGACCTGGCCCTCAACTTCTTCGATACATACCGTGTTCAGCGAGTAAGGAGATTGTGCAGACGTCGTACTGTAATTGTACGGCCTGATGAAAGCCGATCCGCCTGCTCCCATGTGCAGGGGATAGGCGCAAGGCACCTGTTGCCTGGCTCGCAACTGCTCGAACAAGGGCATCAGTTCACCCATCAATTCTTCGGCTGCACGCGGTTGTTAAAAAAGCAGAACCGAATTGAGAGATACGAATTTTTATGATTTGGCATTACGCAAAGCGTTTTGCTTGCCGACGTAATGTTTAGTCAGATTTATAGCCATTTGTGTTATGTTTGTTGATAAATAATGAATATACTTAAAAATGCAGAAAAGGCAGAGAATTATAAGCAAGATGATTTTTATTTAATAATATTATAAATATTTATTATAAAATAGGTATTATAAATCTGGCAATAAAATATACATGATAAGTATATACCTAATACGTAATGTGTAAACACCAAAAGCACTTTCAATAAAGCTTATAATGGTATGAGTTGCATTTTTAAACTTTGGCTTATATTTTTTTCTATTACTTGAATAAATATGTATTGAATCAACAAATATAGCACAAAATGGCAATTAGATTTTTTATAGCATTATTTTTATTAATTGCTAATTTGAACGTGTGAAGTTAAACCCCTCGAGATGTTATTAAACTTATGTTTTGGTTACAAAAGTGAGATTGCGCAAAAATGTTATTAATTTTAAATTGATCTTACAATTAGTTAAAATTGTGACAAACCCGAACAATTGAATGAATAATGTTGATAATCTGTTATGTTTATGTTATTTTAAAATTCAATATTATTTTATTTTCGACCTGTGACAACATGCGATTTACAAAATTTGTTTACGAATATATTTACAATTTTCAAATAATTATTTAAAAATGGTTTTGTACAAAGCAATGCAAACAACTTTCACTAAGCATGCGATTTATGAGTGCGATACTTACGATTGTAGTGCTTCCTTGGCAGTGCAAATTTAATAATAAATTCTAGCAAAACTTACCTTAAATATCTGCTAAATTGTGATTATCAAAAATATAAACAACTCAGCTGTACAACATGTTAATGCATACATCCAAAGTGAAACACTTACCCCAAGTTGTAAAATTAATTTTCTATGGTTTGACGAGATACTTTTTTGCCAAAATAGCAAAAAATTGCGCTTAATTGCGCAATTAAGGATTCAAGTATTTTAAGAAGTTTACTATATCATTTATATAAACGTGTGATAACGATTTCCTTCGAGGAAACGTTAGGATTTAATTTAACTTATGAAAATATACGTATGAAAGTAATTTGGTTAAATGTTTTATATGGCAAAGTAAAACGACGCAGAGCTAAGAAATAGTCTAAGAGCAGACCAAAAAAAAAATATATATGTATGTAAAATGTTTAAGGTTTAAGTTGAAATAATTAATAGATTGTTAAAAAAATGTGATTAGATATTACACAAAAATATAAAAAATACTCAAGTAACACAATATTCCAAGACCGAAGATGAGTGCTAAAAAAATTGATGTCTCCTCTCGAAGGATCGCTTAAGGATTTCGTGGTGTACTGTAATTTTGCCATATAAACCATTAAACAAATTGACTTATAGTTCATGTGTGATTTATGAGATTTGTTAATACGATTTTCGGCTTTCTGGTGAATTATTAATTCCAACCTTCGTGATAGGTCCTGGCGAGCCTCGGTAAACAGGCGACGCCGACCCCGGGCTCTGTTGAGCCGAATGCGGCTTCGACTTGAATGCGGCCATCGTCTGCGACACTCCATCGGCCAAAATGAACTGTTCTCTCAATTCGATGTTTGTTCTTCCCTTGGCTGCAGATTTGGCAGTCGGACCGATATTCAGTATCACGAATTCATTGTGGTCAATGATATATGTTTCGAGACGTCGATGATTTTTAGCCATGATTTTATCGAACAGTTTTGATTTGATGGCGTTCGGTGTTTTGGGTGGGTGGTGCGTGCAGATTAAAAGTACGAAAAAAAGAAAAAAAAAACACAACGTCAAAATACAAGCAGTGGAAAACAAAATACATATGAGGTAACAAAACAACAAACTATTTCTAAAAAATAAACCAACAGAAAACTATATGCTTGATTAATAAAACATCTTGAAAATCAAGTAATAAATCATATACAGTAGGCCCTCGCTTTACACGGCACTCTGGATACACGGTTCCCATACTACACGGAGCTAAAAATCCGACATCCCTCCGACTACACGGACTTCTTATTACACGGTATTTGGTCAACAGCCCATAAGTTCGTTGTGCAAAAGGGTATTGATGTAAATTTTGTTATTGACTTTTATCTTTTAGACATGCCTGTTTATATAATAGCCGCCTAAGAACACGTTTGAGCTGACTACTGCGTCGCGCCAATTTTTGAATAAGGTGTCAATCGTGTCAATGCCCTACATGTCATTTCGTCGGTATTACTCCTACTTCAAGTGATATTTCTTGGTCTCCATACAGCGCGATAAAAATGGTGCGATTTGTACCAACTCTGAGTCTCTCATAACACGGTTTCCATACTGCACTATGTAAGGTTCTATAGAACGCACTACGAATTAGCCTGAATTGTATGTTAAATACGAGTTTCTTATAGCACGGTTCCCATACTGCACGGTACGCACTTGCCGCGTAAAGCGAGGGTTTACTGTATACATATGTATATCATATGATATGTTTGTATATAGACAATACATATAAATATTTTTTGTAATATAGAAAAAAATACATTTATTAACCAAGCATGATTATTCATACACAAAATTATTATGCATCAACAAACAAACATAAGTTTACAAACAAATAATTTGTAAAAATACACATGATGTTCATTTATGAAACGTGCAAATACTACAAAACTCAAAATAACAAAAAATCCCAAAAAACCAACATGCTAAATATACAATTACCCGCGTGCATTTATGAGTACATTTATAACAAAATGAAATTCACCAATTTCATATTTACCCATTTTCACAGTTTTACAGTCCAGTTTTTTTAAATTACTTTCCTTAACACCAGACGTTATTTTCAAACATGTTAAACGTAGTTATCCCACATACAACATTTTAACAATTATAAAATTTATTCGATTAGTAACATTATTCATATATTTTGCTATTCAAAATATAATATTTTATTAATATATTGTTATATTTAAACTCGATTTTTTTAATACAATTAGTATCACAGTTATCGGTAACAAAAACTGATTAATGTTATGGACATGGTTATTATGTATTTTTCCCGAAGCGAATCGATTATTGGTTTAAAATCCCAGCAAATTGCAAAATTAGCACGTTAGAAAAATAATGGCACATTATATCAAATGAAGTTATAATTCAAACCGTTTATTTTGAAGGGTAATAAAATTAGATTAATTTTGAATTTCTTATAGGCCAGAAAACCTTCAAAACAAGCAGTTTTTATTGAGAAAATCATAGTGTAAACAGAATATTACTTTAAACATAGACTTATGTAAAAGAACCATGCATGAGTTCTACAAAATTCACTATATCTGATCAAAATTTCATTTTTTTATGATATGTGAAATAGTAAAAGTCTATGATTAAACATAACACATATGCTTAATGACTTGGTATATTATTTTTTTTAATTGACATTTATTAATGCCCGATAAATATTGTGTAATGCAATATGATCTTTTAAATTTATTGGACTGAATTCCCAAATGCAAAATCATCATAAATTATGTTTACATGAATTCCATCCAAACAAATGATTATTTGATTGCTATTTTTATACAGATATGATTTTGTCAATGCAATTATAATTAAAACAAATATTAATATAATAATAAATGTTCATAAAATTTGATATGTAAATAGAAATTAAATACTGACCTCTGCACGGATCATTCTTGAGCAAGAACTCTTCTAATGCAACCCATCCACCACCAACGCGCACCATCACAGTGCTACGTAAAATTCTGACTAGGCGTAGTTTCTGAGAGTCTCCAAACTGATAAATAAATATTAAATGAAAACAATGAATTACGGCCAAATGTTACATTGATATTTAGTGTGTCTATTACTAACCCTATATTTTCCTTCGCCAACTTGGAACACACGGAATTTCTGTCGACATGTACAAAGCATAACCAATCTCTTGACTTCATCGTGGATCTTATCATCAATAGTTTCTGGGCGGCGTTCTTGCCAATCTGGTCTAAGAGCAGCGATGAATTCCTGCCAATCGATCAGACCACTGCTGTTGCGATCGAAAAGGTCGGCTACAGCATTCATTTCAAGATGAGAAGTATCGAATTCTAGAAAAAAATAGTAAGATGTGTATGCATTTTATAACAATGAATAGAATGTTATTAAATGCAGTGTACATACTCGTTTTCATAATGCCATCAATGAAATCATCCCTGGGAATGAGTCCGTTGTTGTCCTTGTCCATTTTTCGGAAGAGGTCTGTCAAGCGTGATTTCTTGTGGTTCATGAACTTCAAGAACTAGAAAAGAAAATATATCATTCATCAAAGGATGTACCATGATCATTAATTCATTCATCACGTACAAAAACACTGTCAAAAACTATTATGATAACCATAAAAAAAGAGTTCGTTCATGTTCTTTCTCTACAATGATTTCTCTATAAAATCTCTATCCCCTTACCCTCTTCCTCCATTCATCCCAAGAGAAGTTCCTGACGCGTTCCATGTCTCTCAAGTAGGCCTGGTGATCGTGCAGACGGCGTTGACGTTCCCACGCCATCAGCCACACGCGACGCCAGGCGTCCCACAGAAGACGTGCACGAGGCGAACGCAATTCGGAATCAGCCAATTTGCTAGATAATAAAAAAATAATAATGAAAATATGAAAAAATTAGAAACTAGTCGGGAGATATATCATTCGTTAATTGTTGATAAGTAAATAAGCTTCTTTAGTCAGTTTGTTTTCAAAATACAATTTCCGTATAAATTTGATGGTTAATATTTTGTACGAAACTACTTGATGATTTTTACTGTATTTTCAAAAAAATCAAAGAAATATATTAAAAATATGTGGCATGGTAAATATTTAGAACGAAAGAAATGATATAAATATCGATATTCTACGATTATAAAGTAAATTGTACAATAAATACTCCATATAATATAAATTTTTGCTGAAAAAAGTATTATCAAACTATTCATAAATGAATGACACTATTAACAAACTAAAATTTTTATCAAATTTGTATCAAAATTTGTTTTGTAAACCACGAATTAATCGTATAGTTAAAAATTATTTACAAATAAGATTTTAGTAGAAGGTATACAGCCATTACAACCATTTTCCTTAAGACAGTTAGCATATAGAAGATTTTACATTAGAAAATTATAGATAAAGAAAATATTAGATTTAATATATACAGAAACGGTATATTTTAAAAGCATATATATATATATATATTATATACAACTGATATCTACAACATATACTTTATGTTAGAGCATATTATTTCAATTGTATAAAAACAAATCTTAAGGAACGTTTGTATTAAATTATATTAATAAGCGAATTTAGTACCTAATTACTTAAAATTAAATCCGTTGATTTGATACGGATAAATAAATTCTTAAAATACATGAGGTATTATAATAGCATTAAATTTTTTTGCGATGCGATTATGAAAATGTGTAAATTTTACTTGAAGGGCTAATGGTTTCGTAGATAAAAAATTAATCTCATCATGGCCAATTAATGTAGTAATGACTTTGATTAATGATTTATTTAATAATGTTTTTTATGTCTGTTCCAATCTAACCTTCCTTGAGGCGGGAACCTCGGTCCGTAGTGCGGTAGCGATCGTTCCTTGTTGGCATCACGACCAGGACTCAACCGACTATGAAAGACACACAATACGTTCATGGCAAGGACACATGCAAACACAGTTTGAGAAACAATGAAAAAATGTACGAAATGAACTCGTTTTATGATAACAAGGTAACTACAAGGATCCTTTTTGAGGTGCATGAAATCCTTGGTTTTTGACTTCCACCATAAAAAAGATGAACACAATTTAAAATTTGGGATAAATATTTCACAAAATTTGTTTTTCATTGTTTCGCAGTATAATTAAATAATTAAGACTATATTTTAACTATTTCACAACATTGAAAAATGTTAAACTGCTAAAAAATTAATTTTATGCAAAAATTTCAATATTGGATATTGAGGCTACTAACAAACTAAAATTAATTAAAATTTAGAACTCCTAAGAGCAAAAAAACAGAACATGCAATTTCAAAACTACTATTAAAAGCACACAAAACGATAAAATATTTTGAAATGATATTTTCAATAACACCAATATTTAAAAATGTGAAAGTCTTGCATTTAGAAAGAATGTAGATAAAAATTTATTTACAAAAAAATAAATCTATATTATTTAGCACTTGCATTTAAATAAGATAAAATTTGTGCAAAAGATCATTGGAAGTATAAAAGTGCTTCTGAAGTAAATTTGAAAAACTATGTAGAATACCATAAACCACTCAATAAATGAAGTCCCTTAAACAATATCTTAATATAATATTATGAAATTTTGAACTAAATCATGATAGGGCTTACCTCGTCTTGTAAGCAAGACCCTGTTCTCGGGATCCTTTGAAACTAAAACAGTAAAAATACACATGACATGCTTGAAATTGTACAAGACCAAACATTAAACAAAAACACAAACAATAAGACAATTACTATTAAATAAAATGCACAGTTAAAATATAAACACAAGAAAATTAACTAACAAATAACTATTCATGGAAAAGGCCAATTTATGACAAAAATTCAGTATGATGCTAAAACTGTAAATCAGTGTTAATTCTTATTATTAAGATTTTAAATAATCTATAAAATTATTGCAAATACGATTACTTTGTGATGTTTGATAGTATTTTTCACTAAGTTCTCTTATCAATCATCGTAAAATTGTATTAAGTAAAATAATAATAGCTTCAAATGCTCAATATCAATAACACATTCAAAAAATATATTAATTAATTTTAATAAAGTTATCATATTATTATTATATTATCACACAATTATATTAGAATTATTTATTGTGCAATCACGATCTGTGCAAAACATATATTAAAAATATGAAGAGACCAATGAGTGAATAAAATTGAAACAATAATGAATAAATAAATTAACATAATATTAGCAACAAAACATAAACGAACCTTTGTCTACGACCCAATGAACCACCAGTGGGATCTGGTGAGGTTTCCCTCAAATCGTGCCGTGAACTCTTGCTAAAGTATGGAAAAAGCACAAACCAAAACAAAACATAAGTATTGTGAAAATTAACATAAACTGAATATGAAAGATGCATTTTTGAATTAAAACACACATATTGCAAACTGATGAACAACAAAATAATAACTATTCATTTTAATTATTAGAGAAGTTAGAGTTTTGAATCTTTGAGAGGATGAGTGAAATGAATAGTTAACACATTTTGCCAATTCATCATTTTGAGTAAAATTAATATTGATTTATCATGCAGGCAAAAGTGATAAATGTGTGCAAACCTTAGTTTCTTGCATTTCATATAAATCGAACAAATACAAGCAAACAAAAACATCATATAAGTAAAAAAAAACACTTTCAAAAACTAATAAACAATATTAAAAAATACAAATTTTATACTTTCCTAGCATCAATTTTTTCCTCGATATCAAAATATATCTATTTGATGCCAATTTAAAAAAAATATCAGTGACTGTAATGAGTTTAAATAAAAATAATTTGCCACATGTTGTGCTATGATGAAAATCATAAAACCAAAACTTTTTCTATGAAATGAAAATGAAGGATGATTTTGATGCAGTTTTCAAATACATACATAGGTGTAGATGTTCTAGTTTTGGTCATCTTTCTATGATCTTTAGGTTGAGCTTTAGGTTTGCAAGCTCTGTCTACTTCTGGCTGTCTTCTGGCAGTGTTCTCCATGAAATCATTGTGATCACTAATAAGACCTTCCAAGATTTGTAAATCATCAGGCAATGGTTCTGCTTCGAGAGTTGTGAGTGTGGATTCCAATCCAGCCAACCATCGCAAAAGCTCCTCCAGAGATTCATCCAAATCCTTCAAACTTTGCAAATGACCAGAGAGTTTGGCTTCTCGTTGCAGGGCCCAGGATGATACCTTTAAATAAATGATTGACAATTGTATTAGAATAATAAATTATTGAACAAAATGAATAATTGGCAACCTATTTATTAATAAATACCTCATCCCATCGACTTTGAATTATGGTGATCCAGTGTTTGATGACCGTTACTGCATCAGGATGAGCCTTATTGAGGATTGTGTGTGCCAATTCCAAAGTGTAATCTTTGCTTGCTTCTTTTTCTCTAAGTTCTCTCATAAATATCTCGTGTTCATGAAGTTGTCTTTGGGCTTGTTCTTCATCTTCAGGCGCGGCTGATGCGAAACGCAATTTTGTTTCCGCATCGGACAGCCATTCCAAAAGGACATTGACTGACTTATGTAACTTCTCAGCCTATAATAAATAAAAAATATTTTATTAATTAGAATAATAAGAAAAATATAGTTAATAATTAAGTAATTTTACTAGTATGTAATAAAGTGATTCTTGATGTAGTAATATACAGTATTTTTTTAAATATATTCAAACCTGTTAAGTAATTTTACTAAGAGCATACCTCTTTCAAAGCTTCTTCCAGTCGTTCAGCTTTACGTTTGCTCAATGTGGTAACAGAATCCCACAGTTGCTGAAGCTCTTTCAGATGTTTGGTTGTATCAGGATCAGCACCAGATGCTTGTATTTCCTGTCCAGTTTTTATAACACTCTTCAACTGTTCTGAACGTGATTGCAAATCAGCTTGCAATGACTTGTGTTGTTCTACTAAGGCAGTGACTGTATCCAGATCTCCATGTACTGGTCCTTGATCTGAAAGCTTGCTGTGCGTTTTCTTCAGCCATTCCAGTAAAGCGGATAAAGCTTCAGAGAATTGGCCACTGAATAATAGAGCTTCTTCTAATTTGCGTTGTCTATAGGAAAGAAATCGTTTATTTAGTTAATTGAAATAAATGAATTAATTGAAAATAAATAATTATTATATCATTAAACAAAATTAACATCAATTACCTGTCAACGCTCTTCGAGCACACGCGAGCCCATGACTCTTTGAGTCTGGTTAGCATTCCAGTAAGAGTTGGTTCATCAGACCTAGAAGCACGTTCAACCAAGGCTTTGCCACAACGCATGGTGGTATCATATTGAGATTGTTTAGTAGACAATAATTTCTGAGTCTCTCTGTGTTTCGTGAGACGCTGTCTGATTCGTTGTGGGTCAGTGCGTTGTGCGCCATCGTCTTCCTCGGAAAGCTGGTCCAGAGACTTCTCAGTATCTTCCAGCCATTCCATGAGTGACATCCTAAAAAATTAAAAAATAGGAATCAAAACAAGTTATACTCAGCAACATATAAATTGCAAAATTATACCATAAATGCTATGCAAAATAACAAGACTTTTTATGAATAAAAGTAATTTCATACCAAGAGTCATGGAATTCTTTAGCCTCTTTATATCCGTGATCCAAAGCACGAGTTCTCTCAGCCGACCGAGCTACGACTCTTTCCCAACGATGTTGTACGGAAACCAATAAATTCTTGATTAATATCACGTCTTGTTTCTGGCTGAAATATTTCAGATGAGTTCCTTTCTTATCTAACAACAACATTGCTTCTCTATGTATGGACACTTCTTTTTGGAATACTTTGTGTTCTTCTATCTGGCCTGTTAATAATAAGTATTGAAAGTATTTAAATATTTTAAAAATATTATAAGTAAATATATTAGTAAAACATATGTAAAAGATCATAAAATGTGAGTAGAAATATTTTCATAATATGAATAAATTATTTGATGTAAAACATACTTAAAACAGTTTCCATAACTCTCGAAACGGCCTTTGCTTGAGATAGCGTTTTCTCAGCATTTGTCAACCAGTCTACAAATGCTTGAAGAGAATCGTGGAACTCCGTGGCTTCTTTAAGTGCAATTTCCAGTTTGATTTTCTTATCAGAAGCCCTGTACAATCAAAAGGTAAATATGCGTATTTATTTATATTAATATATAATTCTATATTTAAAACATACCTTGCGTTCACTGCGTCCCATCGTTGTTTCAAAGCTCTAAGCGTATGCTGAAGATTTGATCCAGCAACATTTGGTTGTTTTTTAAGGTAATCATTACCTTGTTGCAATAGAGCTTCAACTTTTGGCCTGTTGTCGTCTAATTCTCGGTAAATCTCCTGCAATAATAAGTAATTTATAATAGTAAATAACAATTGCAAGTAGAGTTTATCAAATATCAAATGAACTAAATAATATATTTTTTTTTAATATTTATTTACCATGAATCGTTCAAGCTGCTCGCTGGCTGTTTCTGGCAATCCGCCAACGGGTCTGGATGCTCCCAATAAGCCATCCACATCACCCAACCAGCCGAGCATATCTTGTACCTCTGCCGAAAATCTTTGTGCTTCTCGCAATGCTTCTTCCAGCTCATGCTGCCTGTTTGTTGCCTGAAATTAACAAAATATAAGTATATTATAAGCAGCATATATCTAGTGATAACATGTTCAAACAATTCTCTGTTTCTATACTAAGGTTTAGAACAAATAAATTTCATGAATATAAAAATATTTTACCTTTTGCAGTAAATCTCTCCATTGCTTATTCAGCATTGTAAGCTTTTCTTGAGTAGTAGATGCTTCATCAGAACCTGTAAAATATTTATTTATAATGTTTCAACAGTTCAAACAAAAACTCAAACTCAAAACATTTTAGTTGAAAAAAATAATTTACCTCTTTCTGATTCAATAAGTTGACGGCCAGCATCATTCAACGTATCAACTGAACTTTGATGTGCCTGAATATCATTGCACAAAACTTTCAATTTAGCAAGTTCTACTTCTAAAACTTGTGCGTCTCCCGCAACCTACAGGATAAGACATGAATTTGTTTAATAATTGTTTATAAATTGAATGAAGTAAATACTAACTTGGTAAAGGTAAGATGAACCTGATTCATTTACAATAGCTACTAACCGGTTTCAATTGATCCAACGTGGTATCAGTCTTCTGTATCCAGACAAGTAATTCACTGAGAGCATGCTGGAATTGTCCAAGATGCAGCAAAGCGTGCTCGAGCTGCCTTTGTCTATCTACCATAGCCCTCAATAGAGCTTCCCAACGTCTATTTACTGATGTTAAAGGTTCACGGATTGCTGCAGCTTGTTCCGAGGAAGTTCTCTCTGTTAATTCCACAGCTTGCCTATTAAAAAAATTGGTATAAAACCATTGTGGAATAAAATTCAATGCAATTCATGTCAATTTTTTCAAGACAAGACAAGAAAACACGTGTGATGATAGTTGATGAATAATTTTTGGTAGAATGAGTGTTACAATCAGTGTAAGAATTCACTAAATCAAATAAATGAATTAAAAACGAAGAATATATTCAAAAGAATATTATGAAAACGTGAATCAGAAAAAACAATGCGATGATTTTTAATGCATGCCTTTTTCTGTGCATGCATTTATATAAAACACACAAATAGTAATACAATTGTCTTGCCTTCCTAAAACCCTAGTGAGAGCATTAATATTAAATATAAAAATTAGTTATTAAATAATACAAAAATGTAGAATATGTAGGATTATTATAAAAACCAACCTGTTCAAAGATTCAACTTTCACCATGTAAGGATCAACATCATCCTTAAAGTCTTTGAGTTGTTTGATTTGTTTCTTAACTCCTTCGATATCGGAACCGATGACTCCGAGGTTTGCAAATCTTTGCTCAGCTTGCTTCATGAATTCAAGGAGATTCTGAAATAAATATTACAATGTAAAATGAACAAAAAGCACTGTACAAAAAAAATGAATATATTAATATATGTAAAAATATAAGTTTAAAATAATTATCTCTAGATGTGTATTCACCTGCAATGTTTCATGGAATTCCATAGCCTTCTCCATAGCATCAATGAGATTCTCTTCGCGTCTGGCATACAAGGCCGTGATATTATCCCAGACATTATCCAAATCTTCCAAGTTCTTCTTAACTTCTGGTTTGTCCGGTTCGCCACACAAATTCATCAAATCGTTACCAGTCTTCCTCACTTGTTCTACTTCTGGCTTGGTCTGGTCAATCTCCTGCCTAATTTCCTGTAAGGCGACTTGCTGTAATTGAATAGCTTGCGGTTCGGCAGCAGGTAATTCCTGAGAGGCCAAAGCTTCACGGAGTTCGCCCAATGTTCCCATCACACCTTGCAGTTGACGCCAGAAGCGTTCGGCGACGCCGAGGGTGGCGGACAGGTCACGGCTTCGAGAGCTTGTAGCCTTTTGCACATCAGCCCATAATCTGAAAAAATTAACAAATATCTCGAATAATAATGTAATATAAATAATAAAAAAAATACGATTAGAAAATAAGTTTTCACCGAATATTTCAAACAGCTATTGCTTATTGTTATTTGTTATTCATTTCAGTGAACAAATTCTGATCGATGATCACTATAAAAAATATTTTATAAATTCAATAATAAAGATTCCTCAACATGCATATAAAAACATACTAAAGAATGATGATGAATTAATAGTTAATTAAGATTCTAATTTATAATTGATGAGGTAAGTTATAATTATATAGTTTACTAACTTATTGAGCTTATCAAGTTTATTCTTGATATCACGGACAGCTGGATCATGTTGATTTGGAGCTTTGGAAATGACTTCACTGGCAGCTTTCTTAACTGCAGCATATGCTTCTCCTCGAGCTTCAATATCACCGGCAAGGCCATTGTTTTCAGCTATTTGGTCTTCTATTTTTGGAGGATGGGCTGAAATGGGTTCTGCTGAATTCACCTGGTCAGATGTTCCCGCAAGAGCGCGCAACATTCCTTCGAGTTTATCAGAGAATTGACTAGATTCTTGTAAAGCTTGTTCCAATGCTTGTTGTCGCTGTCTGAGTTCTAATTTCAATGCATTATACCTTGCATTGTCGGTTTCCATAATATCTTGTACTCTGGCTCCATCATCTTCATTAACCAGATTGATCAAAGCTTCACCAGTCTTGTTCAATTTATCCAACAATGGTTTATGTTCTGATATAGATTGCAACAGCATCTGGAGTAAAATATTATATTTTAATATCATAACCCTTCATTTTACTAAAAATTTAACTAATAGAAACTGACCTCATTCTTATCTTGTTGGACTGCAATTTGATCAGGCCTCAAAGCTGGCATTGCCAACATGTTGATTTGGTGTTCAATATCATCTAACCAAGACACTAAACCGAGATGAGTATCCGTGAAATGTTCAGCCAAAGATAATGCTTGTTCGAGTATGGATAATCTGTTAGAAGATAATCCAGTTACTGTTTCAGTTGTTTCCCTCAAGTCTTCAAGCTTGTCACGAATCAGTGAAGTATCTGAGTGTGGTTGAGATTCTCGTACAACCTGGTCATATGATGAATAAACACATATATGAATACTATTATAATACTATTAATTATGCAATAATAAAATTTACATTCAACCATTCATAGTGATATTTTCAAACATTACCTTCTTGGCAGCAGCAATAACATCACGAACACGTCCTTTTTGGCTTGAAATATCGTCATTCAGAGCTCGTTGTTCTTTAAGTTGGACGCGAATTACGTTCGGATCGCCGGATGGTGCATCTGAATCACGTAATGTTCCTTCCATTTCCCTGAACCATTCTAATAATTCGTCCATATCACCGAGAACTTCCATAGTGCGCTATTAGATATACATTATGTACATAAAATTTATGAAATATAAACCCCGTTATAAAATATTTTGTGATTTACAACAATCATTTTACACTTACCTGTTTCGACAATTGAAGCCTTTCAGCTTTTCTTTGAATTTGCTCCACAACTGCCTCGAATCTTCGGTTATCCCGAGACACGATATTCTCAACAGTCGCAGCACCCTCACCTGGTGACATTTGGCACAGTTGGGGTCCAAATAAGTTAACAGCTTCTAGAACATGTCTCATTTCTACGATTTCTTGTTCTAGACGAGTCATGGCTGATTCTTTTGGTTCTCCAGTTCCGCTAAGCACGCCTTCTGCTGCTGTTATCCAGTCGATGAGTCGGTTATGAGCGTCATGGAATTGTTCGACAATTGGTAATGCTTCTTGAGCATATTTCAGAAGATCGGCACCGCGAGATGTAAGATCGGAATAACGGCGTTGGAGAGAATCTAGTTTATCTTTGAGTTGAAGGGCTTCTTCATTGGAGATATGTTTCATTAGTTCTAAACCAGAATCAACCGTGCTGTCTATTTCCGGTTGGTGTGACGCAATTTCTTCCGTTAGTTCCTGATAATATATATTATAGGGTAAATTTTCAAAGTATTTGCAGAACTAAATGATATAAACTACTATATGTATAATACTTACAACTAGATCATTCATTTGTTCAAGAAGTCTTTCAGTATGAACTGGAACAACTTTACATTTATTTAATCTCATGTCCATTCTTTCCATCCAGGCAACAAGATCTTGATAAGTCAATACAAGATGCCTCAATCCTTCCTTAGACTGAGCCAACAGATCGCCGAGCAATTCGGAACTGTTAACTACTTGTCCATATCTATCTGTTGCATCTTGCAATCTGTCGGCTAAATCTCCACCTTCATCTTCTCCTACTAAAGAAATTAGATTTGTCGCAATGTCGGTGAGTTCTGAGAAGTGAGGTTTCTTGGACAAAATTTCGTTATGGAGAACCTAATTAAAAAAAATAAATGTGACGTGAATGTTATATATAATAATTTGATCAATGTGAATAAAAAAATTGACTTACATTATGTTCTCTGATGCGCTCTTGAATCTTCTCTTCATCAGTAGGTATCAATTCCATAACCTTAATGGTCTTTTCAGAATCATCTAACCATCTCAACAATGGATTTAATTTGTCTTGGAATTGTTTCGCAACCATCATGGCTTTTTCAAGGTCTTGAGTTCTTCTCTCTGCATTATCTGTGAGCCTATCAAATCTATGCATAAGATCATGCAATTGTTTTTCGATTCTATTCCTTTCCTGTGGGTCACAACCAGCGCCCACTTCGCGGCCCAAATTGCATAACGAACTCATTGAATTTTGCCGATCGAGAAGCATTTTTTTCAAGAACTAAAATAGAATCATTAAAGTTAATTACAATATTAAATAATGCAAGATTGTTAATATTATTATCAATACCTTTTGTTCTTGAAGTTGGGCCTTGACGACTTGATAGTCCGCACTTGGTGGTTTTTGATTAGCAACCATCTCTTCAGTATCTGTTAACCATTTAGCTAATCCATCTAATGCTTCTTGGAATTTACCAGATTGTAATAAACCGACATCTAAACGACGATCTCTTTCATTCATCTTTAGAAATATATAAAAAATAAATTAAATTTTTTGCTATAAAAGAGTTCTTAAATAATATTTAATAGAAAAATTATATATCACCTTTTCATTTAGATCATTCCATCTATCATTCAACTTCTCAAGATCTCTCTCAAGTACTGTTGTGTTGACCCCGGTTTGGGCAGTGCGAACAAGATCTTGTCCAAGTTTATTAACTTCTTTAACAACTGCTGAGAGTGGTTCAATTGTTGAAGTACGGAAACGAGCAAAATCAGCTTGTTGGGCTCGGATTTGTGCAAGCTCTGAACTTACTGGTTTTAATTTTCTCAAATGATCACCAGCCTGTAAATCAATGAATTATGTTAAAATAAGTTTTAAAACAATTAGGAAACACAAAACTTGAAATCAATCTTTGTTAACAAATCATTAAAAAATGTTACTTACTTCTTGAATATCTTTTATTGTGGAGTCATGTGCTTGATAAAATGACTCCAAGTTCTGTAATGTATCATTTAATGTACCCTCATGATCCTTGGCTTTGCCTTCTAGTCGTATTAATTGTTTCTTTAGCCCTGATACTTGTTCTAAAGTTTGAACAGAATCTGGTGAGAAACCAGATTCAACAAGATTTTCTGCTGAATGTTCGACTTCGTTGACGCGATCAACTGCATGATCAATCTTGTCTAAGATACCACCAACATGCTTGATTTGTTTTTCTACAACTGGCACTTCTCTTGCTGGTGGAGGCAGGAGCTCAATGGCTTGTTCGAGACCGGTCAAATCTACTGCAAGATTCTTCACTTGATCCTATAACAAAATAAATGAAGTAGTGTTAAACTTTGCTCAATAACTAGTTCAAGGTAATATTGATTTATAATTAGTTGCCTGAAACTTACATTAAATTCCATAACTGCGGTCGTAGCAGTTTGCAAAACATTGCAGCGGTCACCCAGTCTTCCTTGCAATTCTTCAATTCTATCTGCTAAGGTATCAACTTCACTTCTAATTTGGTCCGTATCCATACCAGTACCATGAGCTTCATCTATTATCTTATCTAAAGAAAAAAAATTGATGTTATTTATTATGTATTATTAGAGCATGTTTTAATTGTTCTCTAATCCAACCTGCAAGATTTCTCAATTCTTGTAGTGGTTTATACAGTTGTTCAGCATCAGTTCTTAATTGCTTGATACGTTCAAATAATTTTGGATCTCTCGATGCAGCTCCCAATGAATCATGAGCATTTAATCTATCTTCACATCGCGATACTGCATGTGTCAAGTCTCGCACGCTATCATAGAAAGACCCTAGGCTACGAGAGTACCCTTCCAAAGATTGGGTCTTTGCCAACAAATCTAAATGAATTAATAATTTACATTAATTATGAAAAACTTAATTAATATTGGAAAACAGTATTCAATTCTCACCATTATTCAATTTATCCCAGCGTTCCTTCAAATCCTTCAGATCCTCCTTTGGTCCTTCTTTGTCGACATCACATGCAGACAGAAAAGCTTCACCGACAGACCTGCAGCTTTCATATTCTCCAGATCGTTTCCATACATCATTTCTAAATGCTTGTAGATCAGATAGTTGTTGATCTAATTGCTTTTTGTTCATTGCTTGTGGTTGCAACTGTGCAAGTCTATGCTCAGCAGATTGCAACCATTCTCCAAACGGTTGAAGAGTTGAATGATGTTTGCGGCAAAGTTCCTAAATTGATAATACAAATTATTAATTTTTTTACACTGCAAATATTCAAGATTTTGATATGATAAACCCTGTGCTATATAGAAATATGTTAATAAAATTACATGCGATTAATATGATACTAATGGATTTTAATTTGGAAACTCACCATGGCTGTTTGAAGTCTGGTGTGTCTGTCTGTCACATCACGCTTCAATTTATCCCATTGCTGAGATATTTTATCAAGATCTCTTTGAAGGCTCTTATCAACTCCAGGTTTTCCTGCTAAATCTTGCCCTGATATAAAAATTATTGCAAATTATGGTTAGTTATAAATTTGGAATTAAGCCAAATGCATCAATAATTACAAAATTAAACATACCTTTATTTAATAACATAATAATTTCATGCTCTCTGGTTGTAATATCGCGGTACAATGGTTCTATATTTTCTAGCTGATGAGTGAGTGTAGGTTTATTAGCTGATATTAAGAATCGATCACTTAAGCCTGATAATTCGTCACTAAGCCATCCCAATGTTCTAGCACAAGCGGCCGAAAAGTTTCTTCCATCACTGAAACATCAATATATATTGTCAAAATACAATCTTAAAATAATTTGAACTGAGTGTGTTAATTTTGTAGTATATTTTACCGTAAGGCAGCTTCAGTTTCCGCTTTGCGATTATCTAGTTTCTTTTGCAAGTTTTGATACTGTTTGCCAAGAGCTCCAACACGTGCTTTAACATCTGCTCTCGAAGTAGGATCTCCTAAAACAGCGCAAAGTTGTGTTCCTCTGGCTTCTGCATCAGCCAATAATGGTCTTTGTCCCTCCAACTGTCTCTCCAAATTTTCGACCTTTCTCAAAATTTCCTGTGGATCTTTATCAATTGGTAGTTCATCCAAATTATCGGATATTCCTTGCAAAGCATCTCTCAAACGTGATAAGCCATTATCAAATTCACGAGAGCTGTCGGCTGCCACTCCTAAACTGTTTGCACGTTCTTCTAATCTTCCCAGCAAATCAGCCCATTTTCCTTCAATTGATTTCAGTTTTGTACTAATATTCTTGGCTTGAGGATCGCGGTTAGATTCTAAATGATCAATAACAACATTGCCAACATTTTTCAAGTGATCTAATTGAGGTTCCTGTGATCTGAACTCATCCCTTAAAACTTGTACTTGCTGAACTTGACTTTGCACCATTCTTGGATCAGATGAAATTGGACCTAAGACGATCAACATATTTTCCTTGCTTACTAACCATTTTGATAAACTATCATGATTGTCTAGGAAATCACGCAATTGTTCCGAGAAAGCAATTCTTCCCTTTAATAGATCATGAAGTGTCTTCCATTTATCTGATACAGCATCAATATCATTTTTGACTTGACTAGAACCGACGCTATCAGGTTTACGACGCAATAATTCCTAACAAAAATTATTAATATCTTAATTATTAATGCAAGTTAAATATTAATTGTAAAACAACATACTATAAAAAAATCATTCATCAGTTTCATGTTTTATATAATACTAAAAAGAATAAAAAAGTTCAATTACCTTTCCTTGAGATTTAGTAGAATCAAGCAAACTCTGTTTTTCATACATCTCTTCAATGATTTGCCGAGATTGTCTGGTGCATTTATCAGCATCTTCTTTAGTAGTGACTGAGTCTCTAGGAATCTGTCTCTGGACCTTCTCCAAGAAACTGTTCAATGTTCTAATATTGTCATACAACTTACGCAAATCATCTCTGGTGCTGTCAAGATCTGATGACCTATCTGTTAGACGAACACCCAAAAGATTGTATCTGTTGTTTATTTCACTGATTTGCTGCTGAACTGATGATTGTTCTGAAAATAATACAATAAACTTGGTATACATAAAAATATTTCTCATCTAATTGATGAAATTATAAATATATAGTGTCAAAATACCTTCCATATGGAAATCTTGTGAAGACCTCCTGCTGCTAAATCCACTTGACTGAGATAATGGTGAGGTTGAACTGATTGCCATAAGTTTGGTAGGACTTGGAGTTTGCCTCACTGTAAAGGAATAATTTAATTTGTTATTATTCATAGAGAGGTTAATATTAACTAAAATAATAAAATACTTGGACTAGTACGTTTTGATGGGCTGTAAGCACCTTTTTTCCTGTATGGACTCTCTGCACCATCGCCGCGTAATAAATTGTTATATTGTTCTCCTTGTTCATTGACCTAGATTAAAAAAAAAAAATTGTTATATAACAAAAAATAGTTTACGCTTAAAATATATTTACCTTATCGATGGTGGAAGCATAATCTTTATACTCCTTCATGATCGGTTTCAGTTCTTCAGTTTGTGATTTGATCACATCTAAATCAACAGCAACAGGCGATAGACCATTGACTTTTCTTTCCATATTGGCTAACCAAGTTTTAACTTGATTACATAAACTATCATATGCCATCAATTTCTCAGCACGTTGTTTTACTAAATTATGTTTCTCATCTAAAGATACTGTTAATTCTCTCCATTGATTTTCTAAAGCCTAAACAATACAATAATTTTAAAACTTATTATTTAACTATTAAATTTGCCATATTAATTAAATTCAAGATATTAGAATATTGAATAAAATATCATAAAAATGGGAAATAATTACCTTCATTCGATCTCTGACTGCGGCGGTATCTGTGACATCCCTTTGAGAAATAAGATCTTTACCAATCTTCAAACAATCATCAAAGTCATTACGTTTGGAGTTTAGTTTCTCATTTATCTTATTGATCTTAGCAGCATATTCCTCATCCGGCATACGAGAGATTTCTCTACTCTCCAAAACTTCATTGATTTCTTTTAGAACATTTTCCAAAGATGATGCAAGATCATTGAAATTATTCAAAGATTGGGAAACATCTTCCAAAAATTCTCCACGTTTGGCTACTTTGTCACACATTTTTTCATATCTGGAGAAAATAATAAATTAAAATAAACCAATAAGTAAAAATGGTTTGTACTAAACCTAATCAATCTTATTACCTGTTCAAAGCATCATTAAGTTTACTCTCAATTTTCTTGGCAATACGAGCATTACTTGAAGAGTTGACAAGATCACTCATCGAGTTAGCCATACTTTCGATAGAACTTCTATGTGAATTAATATCAGATTGTAAAGTGCGATGTTCGCGGATTTGTTCACTTAAACGTTCTCTAATTAAACTGGCAGGCTTTTGTTGTAATCTGTAAGTTTAACATACGTTACTAACAAATTAGAAAAACAAAAATAATGCTTGATTGTTATTTGTTAAATATAAAGTATATACTTGAAGTCATTTTCTGCTGTTGTCAACCAAGAAACAACACCATCCAAAGCGTCTTGCAATCCTTGAGACTGAACTAAAGCAGTATCTAGTTCGCGTACTCTATTGCCCAAAGCGTCGCAAAGCTGATTATATTTATCAACAATTTCTAAGACTGGTACTTCCAGATTAGATACTTCCATTGGACTGATTTGACCATCGAGTGACTTCAGCAAAGATTGCAAACTCTGAAAATTAAAATACACATAAATATTAGTCAATATAGAATTCAAGAACATGATTATAATTTCATTATTTTCCTATCAGTTTACCTGTTGAACATTATCAATCAATCTTCCTTGTGACACAAACTCATTATTGAGAGCTTTAGCCTTATCTAATTGATCTTGCACTGCACCAGGCTCTGCAGCAACCGGTTCTGATAAAACTTTATTGCATCTGCCAGAAGCATCCTTCAGCCAGGCCTTTGCTTTATCCAGGTTATCCTGGTGATCGCGTTGATACATACCCACGCCAGACAAGCGGTCAGAGAGTGCATTAGAGCGATTGAGCAAGTCACGATATTGTACGGAAAGAACATTTACTTCCTGTCTTACTGGGCTGTTGTTGGGGGATGTTGGTTCTATGTGATGCAGACGCTCAGGCAAGGATGTACGGAAATCATTCAGGATATTCAGATATTCCTATAACAAGATATTTAATCAAGTGCTATTGTAAATAATTTTCTTCATAATTCCAAAATCTTTACCAATATTCTTTTTGAAAACTTACATTTGTTTCTTCAACGAATTTTTGTGCTGCCATTGTTATAAATCTCAAATCAGCTTGATGAGAGATTACATCAGAAACAAATTCTTTCAAAGGCTCAGCCTGGTGAGATAATCTGCTTAAATCAGATATTGCCCTTTCTCGATCTTCTAATTCGCGTCTGGCACTGTCCAACCATTCTGAGAACGTATTGAATTCCGTTCTATGGAAACAGATTACAAAAATTATAATCATATACACATGATAAAGAAATACAAAATAATTTATTGATAATATCAATACTCACTTTAGTTTGGTCAATTGGTCACAGGTTGTTGTTATTTTTCTGATAAGCTTAGAAGTCTTTTCATTAGCACGATCGACTCTGGTTCTGAGTTCACGTCCAGAGCTTTCTAATCCAGAAACTTCAGAGGCAGACAACACGTCTCCACCAGTCAACATCAACTGACGGACCGAATCTAGGCATGATGATACTGGCCTGGCTTGAGAGTCTAACTCCTCTTTGATTTGCTATAAATTGTTATTATATATATATATATAAATAACACAAAAAGTAAAATATTAGGGAAGTAAACTCAAAATTACTTTTAAAGAATTTAATTGATTTCTCAGTTCATCAAGGACTTCCTTGGCACCACCGACATTAGCAAGACGTTTTTCAACAGTTGCAATCCATTTCAATAGTTGTCCCAAAGTATCTTCGCACAGGCGGAATTTTTCTTCTACTGCTTGCTATATTAATATAATTAAAACAAAAATTAGTGTAAATGCAAGTGAAAATGTAAGCGTTTTAGCTCAAATTATTGTACCCCTGAAAGTGGTATGGATTGTGGGTGATAAGTAAAATATTTGATATGAATCAAACTTAAATAAGAGATATGTATTCACATGAACAAATATACATTATTCCACAAAATTGGTTCTTGCATAATTTTAAATACAGAATGCTTAATTGACTAATGCGATCATAAGAGCAGCTATAATGAACTTGATAAATAAGATATATTGAAATAAAACTATATTTTTCTGAAAAATAAATTGCGCAAAATGAAAACGTTTTCGAGAGGCAAAGGATTAAATTAAAACTAACTTAAACTCTGATAGCAATTTTAAAATTGAATTTGAAGTTGAATATTTTAGAAAATAACAATTCATATAATAAATCTATGGTGAAGTAAGTATGTATTACGAATTTGTAAAATTTCTATGCAAGAACCTACAATAAACAGTAAAAACAAAAATAAAAGGTATGCAGCAATAATTCTGTATAAAATATATGAGTGAATAAGATATGTATAAACAACAATTCGAAATAAAGTTTGACATTCCTGTATATAAAGTGAACAACAAAATTGCGTGCGAATAGTAGTGAAACATATTTGAATTATAAGAAAACTAGAAAATTTATAAGACATGATATAGAACAAATGCACACATACACAGAATAATAATCACCAAATCAATCAATCAATAATTACATAAATGGTTTTAGTATATAAGCAATCTAATACTATAAAGCTTGTTAGTCACATAAATCTGTAATAAAAGATTTTTTTATAACACTGAAATAATTGATTGATACCTGCAAAAGGAAAATATAAAATTTAAATCATGACAATGATAATGGTAACATACTCTTATTTACTAAATGTAATAAAAATAAAAATACAGTCAAAAGAATGTGAACAAATAAATAAGACACAAAAAATAAAACAGCGACGTTAGAATAACGTGCAATCGTTCAATCGTGCAATGAAAATATGACAAGCGCATGCAGTGCAAAGATATCTTTTTATGAACCGAATTAAACATATTACCAAAATAATAAAAATTAAAATATACCTTTAAATTAAACAAAGAACATAATTCAAAAGTACTACCTTGAAAAATATCCAAAAAATCATAAAATTAATTAAAATTAATCATAAATTGAATAAATATTAATCTTCGATGTCAGAAACGACTGATGGAAAGCTTGGGTGATACATGTCAGTTTCGGCTAACTTCGCTGAATGTTTTTTGAACACTCATTAGCATTGCATTTATTTTTATTTTGGCGAAAAATGACTATTTCGCATGATCCTTATTAAAATGAAGCATCAATTCTCGATTACTAGCACTGCATTTCAATTAAGTACCAATTCAGTATTGTTATGAAGTTCCTGGTACTTAGAAAATGATGAAAATGATTGGTAAAGCAGGTTTTGATTTTGTGATAGTTTGTAGACGTGAGCTGAAATGACATTCACAATACGTTGGTATTATATAAAACTAGCTTTATCTATTGTTTAATAATCTAATTCTTTGATTTATGTAAGGTTTCAACTAAACCGACAATGGTCCAACATTATATTTTGAAAAAGTATCTCTAAGAGAAATTATTCTAAATTTTGAAAAACTACTATGGAGCGTAATTTTAGAGAAAATGAACCAGCCCTTCTGAAATGTTATCAAATGATAATGAAATGACATGGCTTGAGAAATTATGAAAAATAAATAATACATCAGCCAAATTTTTCGTGCCAATTAATATCTTCACACATAACCTTTTAGGAAACCAAAAAATGTATATAATATAAAAACAACTTCAAATCAAACAAGATCAGGGCTATGCACATGCCCAAAAAGAAATCACATTACGGAAAAATATAAAAAGAAATACACAAAACAACAAAAAATTGACTTACCCGAGCTTCTGCAGGTAGTATGAGACCGCGCTCTAATGCTTTGGACAAGTCAATATGTTGGTTATTTACTGTATCTCGTATTCTACCAGAATTTCCATCTACTAAATTATCATGTAATGCAGTAACTAATGGTACAATACTGCCGTCTGCTGGATTCTTCACAACTGTGCTAGATGGATCTACTAATCCAGTCGTTATAGCATTTGCTAATGTCAATCTCTTTCTATTAATAGCGTTGGTCGTTATAAATGGATCATTAAATTCTCCAGTAGTAGGATTATATAAAGAAAATTGAAGTGCTTCGATCAAAGAAAGTCCCTGTTTAGGAGTAGTCAACAAACCAGTCTCCACAGCCGTTTGCAGTGGTAACAATTTTGAAGTTTTTGTATCTAATACATTGGACTTTTCACTATCCATGATACCTTTTCTAAATGCTTCTGGCAAACGAATAAGTTTTTTCTTAGCTCCATCTTTTATCAGTGCTGAATCGGCGTCTATGTTACCAAGACTTACAGCTTCTTTTAAACCAATGACTTGATCGGTTGATGGATCGGATTTAAATTTCCCTGTCTCTAAATCTAATTGTTTATTATCAACGGCTTCGTCAAATGTTACAGGGCATTTTAGATAGACAATTACTTGATCAAACTGCACGCACAATGTTCTAACTACGCCCAAAGGCGATTCGAATGTTGCTTGGTGAGCAAGATTAATAATTCCATTTTCAATAGCTTGTTGGAGAGTTATAAACAAGCCAGTTTGAGGATCTTTAACTACAGCCATTTGTGGATCGATTAATTCGAATTTGATTGATTCTTCTAAGGTCAAAATACGGGGAGCTTTCGAGCTTTGTAATGAATCTATGGACTTTTTGGCAATAGGCTCAGAAATCGGAGTATCTAAAGTAACCAAAATGCCTTTCTCTAAGGCTACATCGTAATTGTAAGCTCGCTTAGATTTAGGATCTAATACTCTACCTTTAAGAATATCTATATTTCCGTTATCAATAGCGTCTGTTAATGAACGTAATTGACTAGTAATAGGATCTTTGAAAACTGTGGTATTAGGGTTTATTAGACCGTTTGCCAAAGCATTTGTTAAATCGAAATATTCACCTGAAGTGGGATGAATAAATTTACCAGTGTCCGGTCTATACAAACCATTACGAATAGCTTCTTCTAATGATATATTCTTTTTACTAGTCACGATTAAGCCCTTATCTAAAGCTTCCTTCAAATTTATGTTCTTTCCGTTTGGTAACCGATATACACCCTTCAAATCATCTACAATTTTATTAGATATAGCTTCGTTCAAGTCTGAATATTTACCGCTTTGTATATGTTTGACTAAAGAATTGAATGGATTTACTAAGTCTTCTGAAATGGCTTCCTTAAGCGGTAAACGATGATGATTGACGGGGTGAACAAAATTACCTGTTTCAGGATCGTAGAAGCCCATACGGACTGCATCGTACAATTCAAAACCAGCACTTTCGATATCTACAATAAAACCTAATGACATAGCTTCACTCAAAGGAAGTTTTGAATCTGAATTTCTAGGCGTGAACATGCCGCTTCTTTTATTAATAAAATTGGATCTAAACGATTCTGATAACGTTAATAAAGATTTATTTTTGTCATCCCAAACGCAAGGAAGATCCGGATTTATAATGAACTTTCTGATAGACTCATGAATCGTAAGTTTGCGATCATTGTCGGCGTCAGTTATTTTGCCTGTTTTATCGTCATAAATGCCCTGATGAATTGCACGTTGTATTGAAATAGGATTTTTGGTGTCAGTCAGTATACCAGATTCAAACGCTTCCCTAATACTAATAGGCTTATTATCTACTAATACGGTACCATTTTCGCCGTCTATAATACCTAAAACAATTGCTTTCTGTAACGAAACTAATTCCCATGGCTTTGTATTCGACATCTTTACGTTTATGGAGTTCGAGTCTATTAGTTTCGATGCTAATGCTTCATTTAACGTTACATGTTTACCTGTCTGAGGATCTAAAAATCTGCCGCTGTTTTCTTGATAAATTCCCTTAAGAATAGCCTCTATTAAAGCAATTGGTTTACGCACTTCTACTAAAATGCCTCTATCAAATGCTTCACGAAAATCTATCTTTACTCCCTCGGGCCCCGTAACAGTTCCGCGCTTGGCATCAACTATTCCAGTTTCAACAGCTAACTCGAATGGCAAAATCTTGCCATTAACACTTACGATTGTTGATTGAGGATCAAGCAAACCCTTGCGAAGAGCCAAATCAGTGGATACTTTCTCATTGATAGACGCGTTTGCAAACTTACCTGATTTCGGATCGTAGAATCCTTTGAAAACTGCTTCTGGAAGACTATACTTTCGTTTGGCAGGAACGATGAAACCTATATCTAAAGCGTCACTTAGCGTAATTTTTTGATTCGTCGAAGGATCAATAGCCATACCCGTTTTAGGATCAATTAATCCGAAAATAATTGCATCCCGGAGGGACATAATATTACCAGACCTGGGATCTTTTACGGTCATTTCATTTTGATTTATTTCACCCATTTGTATAGCTTCTTCCAGTGTTAAATGACTACCGTTAATTTTAAATAAGCCTGTTGCTGGATCATAAAGCATTTGCACTAATGATTCTTGTAAAGTTATTGGTTTCTTAGAACTCATTAAGTATCCTTTAGCATAGGCTATATCCAAAGGCATATCAGGATTTACTAGAACCCCATTTTGTGTATCAAGCAAGCCAGTTTTTATTGCTTCCTCCCCTGATAACATTTTATCTTCTCTGTCATTTTTCACGAGTACTGTTGTCATTTCTATTAAACCACATCTAATTGCGTCTTCTAAAGTTATAAATTTACCAGTTTCGGGGTTTAAGATTGTACCATTTTGAGGTAAATAATTTCCAGTTGTAATTGCTTCGACTAGGTTCCACTTAACAGGTTTAGTTAATATTAAATTACGTTCTGCGGCCTCATTAAGAGGTATTAAACGCCTATTTCTGACATCATTCAATTTTCCAGACTTAGGATCTATTATTCCTAAATGTAATGCTTGTTCTAAAGGCACAACTTGATCATTTGAAGTATCTTTTATATCAGTGATAGTAGAATCAACAATTTTACGATGAATAGAATCTGGGACATCAATAAATTGATTAGTGAATTCATCAAGAATTTTTCCACTAGCGCGATCATATAAATTTGATTCAACTACGGCTTTCAACGCTACTGGTCTTCTGTACATCGATATTATATATCCTTCTAGGAAAGCTTTACTCAATTCTATTTCAATTCTCAATTCCCTATTAACTATCACTCCGCGCTGTAGGTCAACAATTCCTCTTTCAATTGCCTCAATTAAAGAGATGTACTCATTTGTACCAGGTACTCTTATTGTTACTGATTCTGGATCTAGCAAACCTGATCTAATACACTCAGTAATACTGTATCTATTACCAAAGTTATCAATTATTTCTCCAGTTTCATGATCATACCTGTTGTTCTCCAGTGCCTCTTGTAAAGTAATACTTTTAATGTATAAAGGATACTGCTGTGTTATCCATCCACGTCTGACACATTCGAAAAATGGTATTATTTTCCCAGTTTTCCTGTCAACCATATGACCTGAATTTTTATCGATCAAAGGATTTTCTAAAGCGTATTCTAAAGGTTCGAATGTTTCAACAGGTGCACTTAAATCTTTAACAAATATTTTTTCGGGATCAAATATATCTAAACCATAAATTACATCTTGGAATGTTATTTTATCACCGGTATCGGGATCAGTAAAGCAGCCCCGTTTAATGTCATATATGCCAAATTTAGACAAAATTTCTGGAGTTAATGAAGTATTAATGACAAGGGTTGTAATTGGTTTCTCATCAACTAGCGATACAGCATTTTTCATAATTAAATCTATTGAATCTCGGGGGTCGACCCTGTTTTGGTCCAAAGCATCTTGAACAGTAAAGGGCATTTCTTGACCTTTAACGAGAATTCTGCATATTTTAGGTTCTATTTTTTTCTGGGCAATAGCATCTGCAATAGTTAACCTTTCGAATATTATTTGCTTAACATCAGCAGATGTAGACACGTTATGAGAATCTTCTTGATCAGGTAGTTCAGCTCCATCTGTACCATGTATGACTATAGAAGGACTATCCCTTCTAGATATTGTTGGAATACTTTCAGTTTTTGTGACAGTCTGCACGTTCGGCTTACTTTCTTTCGACTCATTGACTTTTGTTGTAACTTTTTTGATAGTATTAGCTATGGCCATTCCAGCTAGTACAGGACTAGCAACCACAGCTAACAAACCCATTTTGGCAGCTTCTTTTATATTGATTTGTGATCCGGATTTAGGATCTTTAATTTCTCCTGTCTTTGGATTTATCAAGCCTCTTTCTAGACTTTCTTGAACTGTGTGCGACTTTCCGGTTGTCACGTCATAAACAATGGATTTCGGATCAACAATATTTTGTTTAAGTGCATCACTAAAACTAATTAATTTAGACGGGTCATTTGGATCTTTGTACATCTTGCTTTCTTGATCATATATGCTATCAAAAGCTTCCATTATTGTCATATTTTCAGTTTTATTGTATTCTGTATTGATTTCAGTATTTCCAACTGTAATTGGTTGATGCTCAGATGTATCGAGAATTCCTTCACTGACTGCTTTCGCAATTGGTATTATAGTTCCAGTTGTTGGATCGGTGTATGTGCCTGCTTCCATATCCACAAGACCTCTGCGCACAGCATCCGAGAAGTTAACTTTGATTTCACGAGTTGCAAACCTTTCTTGCTTTTGTGATTCGTCCTTAATAATTCCTCGTTTTTTAGCTTCATCTACAGTCATAGTTTCTCCAGAATTTAAGTCCCGCACTTCATTTGCAGACACAAGTGTATATCCAGTTAATAATTCGATCATTTTGGTTGTTATGGTGTGATATGATGTTACCGTTTCTGTTACAGTCGTTACTGCGCCCGTCGTTTGGAACGCTATTTCAGGTAATTCTTTAATTATCAAATGGCCAGATTCAACTGCCTCCGTGATAGGCATCACCTTGCCAGTTTTGGGATGAGTATATGTACCGTTTTGCGAGTCGACCAAGTTCTTGTTTAATGCTTCGTTAACATCCATGCTATCAGGCGTAGGAGGATACGGTAAAGCCATTATGAATTCTTTTTCGATTGCTTTACTCACAGGTATTTTATCCCCAGTAATTGGATGCACTATTTGTTTAGTTTTCGAATCAACTAAACCCCGTTTAACTGCAACCGGGAATGTCATACCTGCTAATGGTATAGAGCAATTTTCAGATTTGCTTGGTTCTTCGAAGACTTTTTTGTCAATAGCATGCAATAAACCAACCTCACCTTCTGAAATTTTGACCAATGATTTATCTTCATCAATAATACCTTTACCAATTGCATCCTGTAATGTTAATTTTTCACCAGAAGATTCGTTAACTTTGGATAAAGGATCAACTATTTCGCATATTATAGCTTCGCCTAAAGTTATAGAATCTCCTGTTTCAGGATGAATTATTTTATTATTATCTTTTTCTATCAATCCCTGATCCTTTAATTGTGTTACAGATAGACTTTTAGCTAAAGGTACTAATAGTTGATTTGTTCCTTCTGGGTCTAAAATGCCCCGATCCATTGCTTGATTTATATTCAAAATATCTCCGCGTTGGGGATCCACAATAAAACCCTTATTCCCATCTAAATTGTTCAAAGTCACAGCTTCGCCCAATGTCAACATTTCACCATTTGGTGCTAGGAAAACTTCTCGACTTTCTAAAATGTTAGCGGTTGCTTCATCCATTAAACCTGTTTCAACAGCCTCACTAGGACGAACAATTTTCTTCCTCATTTTTTGTAGAACCACTGGTTTTGCCTCCAAATCCATGTTCTGCGTTAATGATCGTGCTTTTCCGATAGAAACTTGATATTTAGGTTCAATGATAACCCTATCTCTAGTTTTTTGTGCTTGGCTTGGTTCACTTGCATCATCTAAGCTAATGCTTGTGGTAGTCATCAAAGTAATAGCAGGCTTTGATGTGGTTGTTTTTTCAGTTTTTGGTGCACCAACATCTACCTCCATAGGTTCTATAAATTTAGCAGGTGCTTTTTTATCTTTAGTAACAGCATCATGAGCTTTAATAATTTCACTTCCAACAATACCACGTTTGTGCGCTTCTTCCAAAGGTACTTGTTGACCTGTCTTTGGATCTATTATAGTTTTAAGTGATTTTAGAGCGCTATTTGCAGCTAGTAAAGGTGCACCGACAACCGCCAGAACTCCAAACTTAGCTGCATCTGCAAAGCTAATTTTTCGTCCATTTTTATCTTTGTATTCACCAGTTTCTTTATCAACAATTCCTTTCCTCATTCCTTCCTTTATGTCCATTTCTTTACCTGTAACGGGGTCCTTTATTCTTACAGATTCTGGAGCCAAACTGCCTTTCTGAATAGCCACTAGTAAGTTCTCCGATTTTCCAGTTTCTGGAGATATTATCAAAACTTTAGAAGGATCATAAATCATATTCGTATTCGATACCTGAAGCGGTTCTAGAGATGTCATTTCTGCATCAGAACTTTGAATTTGTACAAATGATAATGGTTGATTTTTCGATAAATTTGAAACTTCTACTTTATCGGGTTCACCCGCAACTTTCGTAATTTGTATTAATCTTTGATTTGGTGTATCGTAATTTCCTGAGCTATTTTTAAATATAATATATTTTTTAGCAATCGCTTCTTTCATTGTTATAGAAGGCTTTCCAGATTGAATGTAATGCCCAGTGGAATCTAGTATACCTTTGTCTAAACTGCGAACTAAAGAAGTGTTTCTATTATTATGTAAATCGACAACAACAGCCGATGTTGGATTGATAATTTGTAATTTAACACACTCTTCAAAACTGACTAATCTATCAGTTCCAGGAATCGTAAATAAACCAGTAACAGGGTCAAACATCTTTGAATCTATTGCATCTGAAAGGGCCCAACCTTCATTTGGCATTTCTAAGATTTGTTTCTCCGAAGTACCTGTTTTCATTTCTGAAGTATAGAATTTTGTCACTGTTGTTTTGCTTTGATGGCTCGTGCTGGTTGTTTGACTAGTATTCATTGGGTATGAATCCACTTCCATATACTGCGTGGCTCGCGGTAAGGCTTCTGTATCTGGTGCAATTCTTCCGTCAATTAGCGCTTGTTGTACTGAAACTGTTTTACCTGAATCGGGATCTGTATACGTCTGCGTAGATTCATCGATCAAACCTAATCTCACTGCTTCTGTGAAAGTCATTCTCAACTCGGATCGATGAACATCGGTATTTGAAATAGTAACGTATCTCTTAACAGTTTTCGTAACTGTTTGTGTAGTCAGCGTTATATTTAATAAACTAGTTAATAAGAGAGCACCCTCTGGCGTAATGAGGCCAATTTCAATTGCTGTATCTAAAGGAATAACTTGTCTCGTATTTCTATCTAAGAGATTACCTGATCGGGGATCAATATATTTATAATAAACTAAGTCTAAAACAGTCAATTCGCGATCTTTATCAAAAACACCAATTTTCCTATTTAACATCTCTAAAACCTCTGGCCTAACAACGCCCTTTTCAATGCCGTCATCTAATTTTACAAATTTGCCATTACCGACATCTAACTGAAACTCGCCTGACACTGGACGGATAATACTTTTACTTAAGGCAACATTAAGGCTAACTGTATCACCTGTTTTTGGACATTTAAAACCATCTATGTCGAATATTGACCGTTGTGATACTGAAGTAATCAGACCGCGATCTACAGCTTCGGGAATTGTGCATATCTCACCTGTTACGGCATTCTTATATTTACCTTCTGGTAAAATTATACCAACTGTCATGGAATCGCATAAAGTCAACAAACTATCGTCGCGGGTATCTGTAATAGATTTAACTGAATCTCCGTCTAAAACCGCGCGGGAAATCGATTCAACTATACTTAATTTTGTTTTATTCATAGGAGAACTAATTTTACCGTTAGAATCAATCAAATCCAAATCAACAACATCTTTCAGAGTCATAGGCTTCTTAATCAAATGCCTACGCTTGGCCTCTCTAAAGCTCATCTTTTCGTTTGTGGAATTTTGAGAATATTTACCTGATTTAGCATTTAATATACCGTTTTTAATAGCTTCATTCACCGTGATTTTATTATCATTACGCGCGTCAACAATTTCTCGCACTTGGGCATCAATTAGACCATTGTTCAAGGCGACGTCCAGTCTAAATCTATCCCCAGAGTTCCGATCCATCACCCAACCGCTGTCATCTACTAAACCGTGTTCTATGGCATCGCTCAGACACATAGGATCTGGTTTGATTCTGATGACGGTGCCAGATGCTGACGTATCGACCAAGTTTCTTTCAATCGCCTCCGTCATACTGATATTGACCGGTTGCTTGTTGATGCTGACTGTTACCTTTGCTCCATCGTACGGCCTGTTGCCATTTTCCAATCCGGTGTGAATCCATTGATTGTCGTCCGGAGATCGCTTCTGACTCCTGATTTCCGTGAAGCGAACGCTGCTCTCGGGTTCCTGCTCCGGGCTTATCCATGCCGTGCCACGATGCGCCGTGTCCAAGGAATCGCGGGAATTTGTTATGTGGGTCGTTGTTTTACGTGTGGTATAGCTAAATAATTGGTAACATAATCAACATACATTCATTACACAAATTTAATAAAATCATTATACATTAATTATATAATGTATATAAAAATATATTAACATAATATTGTTTTTTTTTTTTATTCAATTTAATTTATGTTAAACAGATGAAGATTTTTAAGCAGGCCTAAGATGATGCATCTTAGCCAATAAAAAATTACTAACATCACATCTGCATAACGTAAAAAAGTAAATCCCGAACATATATAAATCTTAAAAAATTATATTTTGAATCCAAGATGTTCAATATAAAAAATAATTTAAGTTTCACTTACTATGAATGACTGTAGTTGGAACTATATTGCGAATTATCTTCAGGCAAATTAAATTCTGCACGATAGGTATGCGGTGGATGTGCCAATAGAGTTTCGTGCAACCTCTGCGAAAGTGACAAAAATATTAAAATTTAAAAAAAATCTATAAAATATATAATTTTTATAAAATAGTTTCATAATATCTATAGTATATATAATGCTGTACTAACAAGAATAAATTTGAATAGTTCGGTTACTTCTCAAATCTTAATTAAAAAATTAAAATTAGGTATAAACTTAAAAAAAAAATATTTAGATGCAAAGTAGTGAGTATTAAAATTAGAAATAAAAGGTTCTGAAAACAGTAATATTTAAACAAACTATACATGTGCGCAGCAACCCATTTTCTAATTATTAGAAATAGTATAATTCAAATAAATTTTAAACAAAAATGTTCAAACATTTTTCAATTAATTTAAACAAATTTTAATGAGTAATATAAAGAAAAAGATGTACTATATTTAAAATATTTTTTATTCCTAATATTCTCTATAGGTACACACCCTCAATTCATAAGCAAAATCGTATTGATCCGGTTCCATGTTTGAAGGTTATGTTTAACTCTGGCGATATTTTTACACTATTTGTTTAATAAAATAACACTTATTGTTTTATACATTATGTTGTTTTACACCAAGAACACAATATCACTGATACAAATCATGTATTGATTTTTTGTGGCCGGCTTTAACCTCAAAATAAAAGTACCAAAGACTCTGCTAGAGCTAAACATCACTTTTCATACTATCGAAATAATAAAATATATAAAATTTATATAAAAATATATTTTTATATTTTAAATATAAATAGTTCGTGAAAGCAAGTCGCACTTCTGGTTTAAATTTGATTTAAGAAGACTAGTCACTAGTGTGTGCGAAATGATACGATTTTATAAAATGTTGCATATATAGAAAAAACTACACAATAGTATAAAAATATGTCTATAATAAAGTAATATCGATGAATAAAATTGTGAAGTACAGTTTTTATCTATAAAAGGGCTATGTTTGTCTGTGACCTGTTAACCTATATGAATAAGCAATACAAGTGACTATAAAAACGATGCCGAAAATAGATATATTTGCATTTATATTTATATTATCATATCATTATATATCCGAGTATAAACTTAAAGAAATAATTTTATATAGGACAATTAAATTTAATTAAAACTCTTTACGTTTAACACGATTTTAAAATCAAAATAAAGCTAAACAGTACAATAGAAGAACAAACTGCAAATGGTGATTAAAAATAAATATGTATAAACAAAATTAAATTTATATTAAGTACACATTATATTTTTATTTTATAAAGTTATTTTTTTAAATAAATTCTAAAGCCCTGTACTAGTACCGATCATTATTTTTTCATAAAATAAGACAAGTATGTTTATTTAACCAATTAGTATCCGCCATAAATAGAAACACGTTGTCTATTTATGGTTAAAATAGTCAAATGTCAACTTATAAATTGAATGAAGCTAAAAAAACGAATAATTGCTATTATTCTATTACCAAATACAAATTTGAAGGTAAACAGCGTTTGTCACTGCCTTATGAGATCATTGTTAATAATAATATTATTATCAATACTAATCATACTGGAAAATTAATTTCACAAATAAATAAATCAGAGAACCGTTGTAGATCCAGTAATAATCCTATTTAGAATTTTGATCATATTTAAAGTTTTATTAATTTAATAAATGAATCAACCGAATTCATTGATTCAATGAATGAATTGGTGACCACAAATGATTACTTAGGGGGCATCCCCTAATTACGTGAGACAAAAAATCAAGAAAATCACGGGGACTAGTAAGATATCACGTGTATTTATTTTTTACCTAAATTTAAAAAAAAAAAACACTTTACAAAAAATTCCCAAATTTTTAGAATATTAATATTAATTTATATTTATATTAGAAAATATTAAATAAATAAATAAAAATAAATTATAGTTGTTCGGCAGTTTGCAAAGTGTTTATGCAAAATTTTAATTTTAAGATACAAGAGATGTAAATTTATACTAATTGTAATTTAAATTATATATATATATATATACAATTTTTATAAGACTAAACTCATTAGTAAATCATTTGCATATATTCGAATGACGCCAATAATATTAAAGAGTTGATTATAAATTTTATGCATGGAGCATTATAGTAAAACAAATTAACAATACACTAATTAAACTCAGATGAATAGTAAACGTATGTTCAAAATATTATAAACATAATTGTTTGTTATTAAAAAATACATTTTTAATCATTTATTTTGAGAAGCTTTGCCCTAAATATTAGCAGGTCAAACATTGCATTAATTTGTCGGCTTATTACAAATATAGTCCTCTAGAATAAATAACGCCATGAATAACTAAAACGAGGGGAAATGTCAAGGATTTTTCTGACAACAAAACTAGTTTTTTGCTTGCAATGGAATCTTCATTGAGACGACTGTTTTTTTACTATATTGTCTTAGAATAACTTTTAGTTTCTTTCGACATTTTAGAGGTACATGGGTCAATATTAACGAGTTGGTTTCACTTTTTAGAAACAGATGTGGTATATTTTTACGACTCAGATCAGCAGTAATAAGGAATGCAAATTTGTGACCAAAAAGGAATAAATATCCATAGAATTCACGCTAAATACTCATCATAAGATCACCATATTGTTACATAAAATAGTCATTAGATATCGATTATATAATTACACAATATTTAGTATCCTATACATAAAAAGTGTTTTTAATAAAATTCGAATTTTAAATATGTTCCAAATTTTTATGCAGGTGCCATTTTTGACTAAAAAACGTAAACCTTGATGAATACATATCAATCGAAAGATATATATTATATTTATGTAACAAATTAACATTTTTTGCCTTTTCGTAGAATAATCTACCACATTATCAAAGCAATTCACTTTCATAACAGTCATGTAATTATATTAACTGATACCATATCTTCAAATCGTTTCTGATACTGCAACATATCGATCACCACAGGAATTCTAGATTAATTCACCTTTGCAATTTCACACGAAATGTTTAAAAATAGATCAGAAACTTTAAAATTATATATAATACACCGAGACTCCAAGAAACTTCAGCAAAGTTACAGTAAGCTTAAAAATTAATATTATGAATAAATGCATGGCATTGCATTGAAAACGTTAATGCGTAAAAATAAAAAAAAATCGAGAAAAGATAAAAAATAGTTTCATAATGCGATCACAATTGTATCATTATTTTCAGCATAAAATATAGGCATCATAAAAACGACGAAAGTATCAGAAATTCTTGAATACAATTTAAAATTCAACAGAAACTACGCAAAGTTGAATGAGATATAAAATACAAAGAACTTTAGTCATTACCATTCATGGTTAGATCCATGAGTGGTATTGACCATATATAAACAAGTTGCTAAATTTAAATAAAAAATATCGATTATCTCTCTAACCAAGCTAAAACCTGTCTAATGCTAATCTAACCATGTACCAATTTCGAAAACCTTTTCTAGGTCTTGTGAATAAATATTTTTATCTTGACACAGGACTTTAACGTCAAAATTATAGCCAGCTGGCATGCAGCTATCATTAAATCCGACGATTGCCCAAAACTAATTTGAGGAACAACTCACAACAAGAGGGCTTAGTCAAATTGTATTCGTTCGTCGAATTTTCCAATAAAAGTGAAAATAATTAATGACATGGTGACTAGAGCGTGAATGTTTATTATCGAAACCAAAACAAAGTCACGCGATAAATTTTCTTTTGGCAAAATGACAAAAATGATCTTAAAATGCATCCAAGTCGGAGAATGACTATGAAAGTAGGTTGAAATGTAGAGCAGTCGGATAAATATTTAACAAACCTATTCACCTATTAAGTTTACAATGATAAAATGCAAGAAACATGAGATTACTATGATTGAAGCATAATAAAGTTTTAGTGATTTATAGTTTTACAATCATTTTAGCTGTAAAATTATTTAATAACTGCGATAAGAGAACTTAGTCAGCGGATAGGGTCATACATAAATTTAGATACCGACATCAAAAGGAAATCAAGTTTGAAGGCTGTATTTAATATCGGAGATTTTTAATCATATATTTAATACTATTAGTTGTTGTAACAAAAAAATAAAAAATACTTATTTTATTTATTAAATTCAACAAGATTTCGAAAGATCTATGTACAAACTTGAAATAAATTAGGACTGCTTTATTGCTTAAGAGACGTTTTTGAACCAGTCCCTGGAAAATGGTCTTAACGGGATTTTACTGTATATATATTTCGACATGAAGAAAACCGGATTTGATGCATTCTAAGAAAATATAACTTGTACACGATTTTGTAAAAAAATGTAAGTAAAAAACATTAAAATTAAATTTATTGTATATATCCATGTTCATTTTTTTACTCATTTGTGATAAGCCGATCATTAAAATACTATAAATAGTCACATTTGCAACTTATTGTACTCTTAATTGTTATTCAGAAAAAAATACATTTATCAGTTTTATTTTTAATATGAATCTGGAAATGCTTCAAATTCACATAGGATTTATTATAAAGTTAATCATTGTGCACTAATGACTTTAATAAAAAAAAAATTAAATTATTATTCAGGGAAAAAAATCAATTTTAACCATTATTTTGTAATATGAATCTAATTCTACAAATGTATCAAAAGGGTAATATTGATAATATTGATCATAATCCACTCTAATAATTTAATAGGTAAATGAATAAATGAATACCTACTATACACGTCTTATGTTGATAAAACCATAATTATAATTACAGTAAATAAAAATAATATAATTGTAAATGGCTATGTATGATGAACGATAAAATACAAAAAAGTTCAAGAAATTACAAAAGCCGCCTCGAGGATCATCCTGGACAACTGTGTCAAAATACTACCAAGGCAAGATAAGAAAAAATGTTACATTAAAATACATCAATTTTCAAAATATCTGGCAATGGTCAGAAGATTTGGCATTTTTTAAGTATTTTTCTTAACCCTACAGTTTTACTTGTTGTCCAAAAAAAGTGTATCATTTCTCTAAATCAGTAGAAATTCTTGGTAATATACAACAAGCGTATATCAATATTTAATTAATTAATAGCAATTACTAATTTCGCAATTTATTACATTTACTATATATGCAACATTATCCTTCTCAAATTTTATCCGTAATTTTGTGTTCAACAATATTCACTTTCAGCCTCGTATTTCATTAAACCACAATCCATTTATCACCTCACTAATTGAATCATATATCCATAAAGCATTTAAGTATTAAAACAAATCACAATTATATTATAGCACAAAAATGTGCAACTCACAAATGTCGGAACATAAAAAATCACGTGTCATTAAAAAACAATGCAGTTGTAAGGTAATAATTACACGAATTACGTGTAATTCCGCGTAAGAAATAGCGACGATCGTGCGACGTCCGCGGCCGGCGGCTTATCGAATACTGAAAATAACGTAACAGGCAAGGCAACGCGATTCATGCGACTAAAACTACGGCCGGGAGGCACTGGTGGAAAAAATTAATGGGGAAAATTATGTTTTTATCATTTCCTTAAATAAAAATCAAGGCACAGTTTGAACTTATAAGCTATTTTTCAAAATGAACAAAACGAAAAAAGTGAAAAGTAGTACATAATTTATGCATCATTCCAAAGAGGTCCAGGAATGTGATCAGTTTGTTGTTGGAAGAAAAAGATAGTACTTAGTCTATGTTGACCTAAATGTTAACAAGGGTGCGTCCATTAATCACGTCATCGATTTTTTACGGATTTTTGGACCTCTCTTCCTCCTTAGTAATACCTCGTGATATTTAGAACTACCCCCGCCTTCCCCATCAATCATCACGTGTATTTTTAGCCATGCAAAATTTATCGAATATACAAAAAAACGTAAAATTTGATCTTTTTTGAAAATTTTGGTAAAAAATAATTACCCGTGATATCTCACTCCCCCACGTGATTTTTCGTGATTTTTTGTCAAACCCCCCTCCCCATAAAAACCTCACGTAATTAATGGACGCCCCCCAAAGTACTTAAATAAAGTTAATATATAAACTGTTATGTATTCAAAATTTTACTTATTTACTTAGTCTGACACTAGAAATTCTATATGATCCATGTCAAAGATATATTTGTTAAATTTTGGTAGGAGTTTTTTTTTAATATATATATATATATATATATATATATATATATGAGTAACATAAAAAATAGTGTTTTTCCAGGAATTTGGCAAGAAAAAGAATTTTTTTAATACGTTAAGTTTTCTTGATACATTTTTAACTAAATTATCTAATGAAGTTACCAAGATACAGTAACATCTTGGAATGAACAGATAATCAGAGGTCCTTATAATAAATATATATTGTAAACTGCAATAACCTGACAAATTACCTTAATGTAAAATAAAATACAGTTTCTGTTATGAAATTGGTATCGATTTTGAAGCACATGACATTCACTAAATTCGCTGATTATGTATGTCAGTTTTAAACTAAATAATATTTTTAGTATATTTTTATTATTTCAATTAATTTTTGTTAAGGTGTAAATGTATCTATTATTTAAGTTATAATTTTTTTTGTTGCAGCAAATACTATGCTACATGGATGAGAGAGCAATAGATACTTCAATCAATTTCCAATGATAATTTATCTATTTACTTTAAGGTATCTTTAAGTAAACTAGCTACTAAATCAATATTTATATGTGTATTCAGACTGATAAAATTTACATCAACTTGGAACCACGAGAATCTAATAAAAAATAATATGAATAGAACCATTGTTAAAAACGGCTTATCCTGTTAGTACCACATAACTATTCTTAAAATATACTAAAGAAGGTATTGGCATAGAATATATTATTTTTAACAGCAAAACGTTTAATAAATACATTTATCCACTACTTTAAAATAATTTTGAATATATTTTTTTTATAATATTATTAAATTAATTGTTGGCCTTCAATGATCATAACACATTACTAGCTTATACAAGTGCTATGAGCCAATGTCAATGTCACGGAAAATGCTTTATTGAGGTAGTAATGTGAAAATTGTTTTGAGTACATAAAAAAGTTCAATTAAAATTAGCAATAAACTAAAAATACAATTGTTTGTTTTATAAATAAATCTAAAATTTGCAAAAGTTATTATATATTTCCTTGTTGACAAAATTCAATACACAATCCAATCCCATGACAACTGAGGTTTTTTATATTAGAGTTTGTTTTTCAATTACAATTTATATTTATTATAAGAATCTCTGATTAGCTATTTAAAACGATCAGATAAAATTTACTGAATTTTTATTGAAGGACAGTAGTCGTGTTTGTTTCTAGAGGTCAATAAAGAGATTTGAATCCAATTAGCATAATAAGAACTTTGGCAATGTGTTATTCGAATCCGAACTTGTACTCAGAAACCAAAATATTTATATAATTTTAAGTCGAAGTGGTAATTTACATATTTAGGTAGACCTAATGGAGAATAAAGTACTAATTGGAATAATAAACTTTAAATTCGAATGTTAATGTTAACTTTGCACAATTTATTTATGAAACTTCTGAATTTCTCGTCAGTACCAGTCTAGACTAAATACAATCGCGATTTAATGTAAATAAATATTCAGTTTTCTCTATATTTTATCCTCAACTAACATACGAAGGTTATCTAATAATAAAAATCTAGACATTTACATATCATATTTGCATAAAAAATTTATTAGAACCGGCTTGAATTAATATTATCATTTTTACGAGAAAAAAACTATACACCGTCGATAAAAATCGATTTATAAATTGAATCGACATGTTATATAAAGAAGATGGCAAAAATTGTGGTTATTTGCATAACAACTTAATTTAGATTTTGTAGAATAATAATTGAAATTTATTCCGAAAAAATACACCGAATTTTTATTTTTAGTAAACGAATAAAATAAAATCATATATAATAACTTAAAAAACAAAGCCATATCTTAAAATCAAGAGTCAGTTAATAAATTTGTAAATTATAATTTCGTGGAACATCTGGATTTATTTCTGGTAAATACTAAATATATATCAACTCAATTTACAATAATTATTTTACATTCGGCATCTCTGTGCTAAGAAAAAAAACCTGTCTTCGTTAATAGCCATATTTATTTCAAATCTTAATGACTTCAAGAACAAACAAAGTTGTAAATAAAGATGTTTCAATTAGCGTTGCGTGTAATGACGAATAATTTATTCCAATAATATTTTTTTAAATTACAATCTATCTCATTATGAATTCGGAAATTGCGAAATAAATATTACAAGGTCAACAATTTCTTATCACTGTAACTAGTAGGTTACAGAATTTGATGAATTATACGGAAATGCCTGGAATGAAATGATATTCAGTTCCTATTTGTAAATGAAGAGAATAATTTTAATTAAAATATTTTATATTTGTCTAAAATATGACAAAAGCTTTTTATCCAAAATTTAATATACATTAAAATTATATTTTAAAGTTTAATAAAAATTTAGAAATTTCTTACGTAGTACTATTGTATTTCATTATTCATTTAAAATGATGTTGGAGTGAAGTGCATTTAATTTTGAATTTTTTCGTATCATATTTGTATTCACCGAATAATAATAAGCTGTATTAAAAGATGAATACAATTTAACGTATTCACAACAAAAGTCCAGTTGTAATAGGTAATGATGATGGTTTATTAAATTAAATTAGTGAAGTTATTAACTGCTAAGTAATAATTAATCGTCTTAACGGGGTTTGACTGTATTACAGGAAATACATTAAAGCATAAAAAATGATTTTGCGGTTATTTCTACCCGGCGGCTCCACCGCCTTAAAAGAAAATTGATTCCTCAAATATTTTTTCACGCGCGTAGGTTTAAAATGTTCGCTTTGTAAATTTGTGAACATTAAATTTTTTATCTCCAAAAGTAGCATTAATAACGGTTCACACATAAAATCCTTGATTTGAATAGTATAGGTATAAAATCATGTGACATGTGTGGAACATGATGTCATTCTGGAGTCAATATAATAACGCAAAGGCGTTCTAGTGGACCTTGAGCCAACATACTCGGAAATCGTAATAATTTTTAAACCATAAATCTGGTCTAAAAGTTCACGACTATCGTAATAATTATAAAATGTCGTATTATAATATGTACTATTTCGTAATTTATGGCTAACTAACAATACTTTGAGTAATTGGAATAAAATTGTAGCAAGGTCGTTCTAAATTGCTTCAAATTAAACTCGGCTTTTATTTCAAGTTTCGAGATTGTTTGCACAAACTAATTATTGAATATTTACTGATAAACTTCAATTACGCTTTACGTTTTCGTAAGAAACGTGGTACGATGATTTTGTTTAAATTTTTCGAATTTAAAAAATTATTATAAGATTTTGAAAATTCAAAGACAAAATGCCACTGCCTCTAAGTTAATTTGCTTTTACAAACATACGTATTGCAATATGTTTATGTCTATATCATTTAATAACTATTTACACGTCTTGAAGCATCAACAATTTATCGTTCTTATTATCATCTAAGAATTAACTTATCTCGAATCACAATTTGGTGTTAAAATTTTATTGTTTGTTTTTATCGCACCGAGATGTTTAAATAAGTATTCACATTCCATAAATGATATCATTCTCATTTTGTATGATATCATTTATATTTTTGATAATTCGTTACGACGAATCAGGTGGATATTATTGATTACGGTTTGCTTATGAATAGATATTAATAATAACAACATTTTTATTATTAGAATTATGTAAATTCAGGTAGCCAGTTGAGTTGATTTCAAATACTAAAAACTTTATCTCAGGTTAATTATTTATCATTTATGGTCGTTTACATCATGCATTTTTCTCAGTAACGAAGGCTATGATTCTCAAACTGTGCAGGTTCCCAAAATAAATAAGATTTCTAACTAACGATTTTTCTGAATATAACAAACTATAAATAAATATATAAAAATCTGACTCACCAAAGCCTCCCGATCGCCGGCAGTAACCGCCATCAGAGCCTGCACGTATCTCTGGAAATCATTATTCAATCTGTCCAGTCTCTGGGACAACCTCTCGCCCTGCACAACGCCGACTTCTTCATCTCGAGGCAGGTTCAGGGAAGGTCTCAGCTCACCAAGGTAATCGAGGTAACGCAGAGCTCTGGACTCGTAGATCTTTTTTCACAGCAGCAGAGCAGGGCAGCATCAGGACAGCAGCAGCAGCAGCACGACATTATGCGGTTTGGTGGTGTTAAGAGTTAGTCGAAAGGCCGGGGTTAGAAGAGCACTTAGCGTTAGGATATTTGCTAGTTTTATAATAGTTTATATGTTGTAATTGAAGAAAAATTTACCGGTGTTAAGAATGGCAAAAAACGTGTGCATTTCACTGTCATTATAATTAATGAAGTTTATGTTATCCAATTAATTAAAACATTTTCAATAAAATCTTTCTTCTATGTACAACATATAAACTGTATTCTATGTTTACGTTATTAAAATATTTTTTAAGTTTTATTTTCTTTTGAAATTATATTTTAAGTTACTATTTAAATAAATAAGCTTTTTGTTATTTCCTGTGATATTATTAAATTGCTTAAATAAATCTAAAAATTTTGACAACGCTAAGTAAAAGCATTACAAGGCGTCCCATTTTTATAATCAAATTCATTTAACTATAATATTAAATATAATAACTGTTAGCAAATTATCTATTCCCTTAGCAGTTTTAATAAAGATCATTTAAATTATTTATATAGCCTCCATTATGGCTAGAAAAGCAAAGCTACGTAAATAATTACTTGTAAATAAAAAATACGAGTTAACACTTTGACCCATTATTATGTACATATTGCAGTAGTGCAATAGTTATTACAAAATTGCAACTTTTAAAAATTGACTGATAGATCATTCATGTACATTTCACACACTCAAAGGGTAACTTACGATGTTCGATAAAATCAGAAATATAGGGACTTTACGTATATTTGGAAATATATACGCATATAAGCATACCTTTGCCTCTTTAAGGAATCTTGCTCCATTCAAGTTGGCTTGATCCAATTTTGGAATTCGTTCTATAGCACTCTTGAGTTTAGTCTACAAAGAAATATATATATGCCAACACAATTAAATATTAAGAATTATAAAAAATATAAGTTTGAAAAATATATCTCACTTTGGCAGCGTCTACATCATCTCTAGGAACAACTTGACTCTCCAGCCAATTTTCCTCTACTTCAATCGCGGTGGTCAAGTTGCTCAGAAGTCCATGGGCTGCTTCACAACTTTGCAATCTGAAATAAATTTAAATTAAATTAAATCTGATTACGATGAACCAGTGTGTTTTTTATATATATTTATTTACCTATCTACAAGTAATTTGCATATTTCTGTCCATCTCTTATTTAATCGTTCAACGGCCTGGTTTAGTCTGTCTAAATCGGTATGTGGACCCGTAACCTTCCTAGCCCTCTCAATGCACCTGGTGCAGGTATCTAAATCATCATTCAACTTATCCATATTTGACTGTTGTTGAGCAATGACATCTTGAAGATTCGATAGTTCTTTATGAACCTTCTGCACACCATCTAAAGTATTAGGCATTGTGTGATATCGCGCTAATTTGATCTCAATGTCGGAAATGTTTTGCTCATTTTCATCCAGGCCGACTAAAACGGCTTCTAAGTATTTCATTTGATCGGCGTAAGAGTTGGATTCGGTGTTGATGTCTTTCCATAATTCCTGGACACGGTCCAGATTCTTTTTCATGTTCGGTGTTTTTAATGCGATGTTGCGGAATGTAGTTTGCAAAGCCTTCAGATCAGGTTCAAGTTTGGTTAAATGTCGAGTTATATCCTAAAACGAAAATATTTTGATAAAAACAAAACTTCATAACTATAGATACACAGCACTAATTGCAATAAAGTAAATTTTACCTGATGCACCATGATGCAATGCTCCAAAGTATCCAGATCTCTGGGTAATGGTTGCGAAGTAAGATTGTGCAATTCTCTCTGAATATCCAGCAAGTTATTGTGCAAAGTCGTGCATTGCTCCGAGAACAAACGTCCCGCTTGTTTGGACTCCTCTGCAAATAAAAATTGACACTCATTAACAATACAACTCACATGTTCAAATAAAAAATATTAAAATTATCTATTACCACTTCGTAAACCAAAAAATTGATGCGAAAATCGCTTCATTGTCGATGAAATCAAAAATGAGACGCGTTTCAACTACAGTGACTTCTCTCAAACTAAATTAAGTGTTTAAGCTTTCAAGAACAACTGATCATTACTTGCAGAAAGTTGATCAACAATAATTATTGATTGACCATTTGATGTCTTAAAATCTTTAATTGAACTAATTTATTTTTCATTAAGTGATCCGTGGGCGTACTGTGAAATTCTAAGCCTTGAAACTCAATAGTCCTATTTTAAAATAATGTCAGTGCCGGAATTTAAGCAATAACGGAAATAAATTAGAAGCAAACTATCAGCACACACTGCACAAAAAACGAACGCAATAAAATAATTTTATTACAAATTATTGAAATATTTAAAAAAAATTATAATTATTACCTTCAGCACGAGCTCTCTTCTCAAATTCATCAAAAAGTCTATTAACTTCATCCATTTCGCGACGCAATCTGCGCAATTGAGGATCAGCTGGATCACCTTCGGATAGCAATTTATTTGCATCTTCATTCAGGGCTTTCCTGATTGCTGTGCGCTGGTCGGCACCCATTGCAATAAACTGCAAGAAATAAAAGAGTGTTTATTGCTTCAAATCTCATATGATAGTTTATATTCATCAAATATTTTACCTGTTCTAAATCCCAACCCTTGACAACTTTGATTGTGGCAAAGATCATGTTTTGTCTTAATCGCAGTTGTTTCCGTTGCCACAAAGCAACAGTTCGGTCAAACAATCTACGTAAGCGTTCAGCTGCCTCCAGGGCTTCCTTATCGGGTGGAGCAATAAACAGGGTAGCTCCTATAAAATATTATAATTTATATTTAATATCTGCACCATTATTTAGTTACACCAATGATCTTACCTGGAACTAGACCTTCGTGTCCTCTAGGAGATTTCACACGCCATTTTACTCTACCAGAGTTATCATATAGAGTACAGGAATCGCCTTTTTCAATAACCACCTGAAAATTAATTTATACTAACTAATCTACTAACATTACTAGCCTTAAACATATTGCATTAAAAATTACAATTCTGATTATAAATTGTGAATCCAAATTCTTGAAGTAGTATTTGAAAAAAATTTTACTTACATCATTCTTTTTATAAGCACAAATGGCTTGAACAGGCAACGGTCTGGTGACTGGCATTTTTCTCTGTTTGAGAGGAACAATTGTGTTAGCTTTATCGCACAAGAGTTGTAACTGTTCATTAAAGGCATTCAAATCTTCCCGGAGGCTTTGCATTCCTTTCAGCAAAGATTCACCTAAAATTATAATTTAGTTATATACAATACAAATTAATATAATTTAGTCTTCCAACATTTTTTATTTTACCTTGATCCAATGAGAAGTCTGATTGTGAATATGTGGTGTTCAAAATTTCATCACGCCTGAAAATAATGATAAAATTATTTATTTTTACTAGTATAATATTTTAATGTAAGCTAAATTCAGTGTATAATTCTAATTACTTTGTCATCCATTGCTCGGCTTCTTTTAAATCTTTATAATAATTATGATAGTCTGTGCAATGTTTAAGATGCACCTCAAGACAAAGAGTTAGTTGTAATAACCATGCCCATTGACTTTGCAGCGCCTAAAATATAAAACAATTAATATTAACTATCTATCTTTTCCATAAATAAAATCATTTCAAAGATCATTTTTGTTCTGTTTTTTTTTTTTATATTCACCTGTAAATGTGATTCAATGCATTTTACTGCAGGATGACCTTGTACAATAAGGGCTTCACCACGATCCAAAACACTTGAGAATTGAATTTCGCGCTTTTCCAATTCTGACATCAAATTCTGCAATGAAATTATAACGAAGAAATCAAAATACTATTCGTGAAAGAATAATTTGATATTAAGTTTATATAGGAGGAAGACTATAAGATGTAAATAACATACATAAATCATTATTTACTATCATCTAATAGCTCTTGAAAGATTCAATTTTTAAAAGAAGTTATTAAGGAAAAACGAGCATAGGTCTAGTATATATAGTATTTAAAATTTAAATACATTTAAACACATATATCATTTCATATAATTAGCTTGTATAAATTATATTGCAAAACTTACATCACATCCTGATCCATACGAATGCTGCATGCATTAAATACAAGCATAAATTAAAACATATCTCGATTAATATCATATGAAAAATCTACTATAAAAAAAGTCGTCATCTAGCAATAATAATATTTGCTTTGCATGATATCAAAAATGCAAAATAAAGGATAAAATTATTTATCATAAACAAACTCACCTCATAATATCTGCCAACAGCTGGTAAATCTAAATTTTTATCTGCCCAATCTCTGGACAATTCGATTTGTTCTTTGTCATTTAACCAGGAAAGTTCACCTGTAGCTGCCAATAGGAAATCTTGGAGTGAATCTAGGTCAGACAATCTGAAATTTTTTTTAATATATACAGTTTTGTTAATAAATATTTGTTATTATATTTACTATACCTTTTATTAGATGTGCTAAGTAATTCGGCGTAAAGTTTTTGCAGTTGACTTAGTTTTTGGGTATATGCATTCAGCTCTTCGCCTTGGAATTGGGTTCTTATTCTTTCTGAATGAGCAATATGTGAATGATATTGATCGATTTGTGTATGTTCTTTTTGTTGCCTATTAATTTCAGATTTAACGGATGGCAAGTCGCTTCCGTAATCGGCCTCCAATATTTGTTTCTAGTGAAAAAAATTATATATTTAGAATATTCGGTACAATAATAATAAATACACAACTAACTATTACAAAAACTAAAAATAATGAAATTTGATTATTTATTCTACTTACCAATTTAGATTTGCACCAGTCAATGTGTTCCTGAATATCCTTGAATGCTGGTGTGTTGTCAACCTTTTTGGGCTCAGCCATGACCCTTGTCTGTCTGGTAACAGTATGGTATTGCATTCCTGATAATTTGTTCACCATTTTCGTAACAAATATAGATCGTAAATTCGACCATCGTTGATGAAGTTTCAATACTCTGTAAATAATAATATTTTGCTTCATTATAAAAATAAGCTCAATAAATTTTTAATTTAAATCGAATTGACGTAAAAAATGCATAAGTCTTAAAGTTTATGTAACTATTGAAGTTCGATAATTATTTTTACTAATAATAATTATTATAATACTATCAATAATATTTTATTTCTTTTACCGTTTATGTAGTTCGTTGGCTTGTGCGTATTTGCCGTCTTTTAGTGTCAGGCAATCGTGCTCCATGCTCTGCAGGGTGCTCTCCAGGACTCGAATTTCGGAGTCCATCGAGTCCACCAGGGTGCGCGCATCGTTCGGGTTCAATCTTTCAAATCGGTGCGATTCTTCTTCTATGCGAATTTCCAAATCCGTTAAGGAATGGTCGGTTTGCTTAATTTCACTAAAATAAAACAGATTTTAATTAAATGGGCTATGCATAAAATATATCACTTTGTTCTAAAAGTCTTGACCATATAGCTAAATAACAGTTGAACTGAAGAAAACAGTTATGCAACATCTGTTTTCAAATATCAACCTATCAATCTAAATCGCAATGTGCGATTAAAATGATTTACAGGTAAATAATGCAACATAGTAATTATTAAATAATTCATTTAATTGAACTACAAACCGGTGTAATTTCTCGGCTAACCGTTGCAAACGCTCGAGCCTGTGCACTTCTGATTCCAAGGCCGACATTCGGTCCTGATGCGCCATCATCAGGCGATGCCAGTGCCTTTCTAATCCTTCTGGTTGCAACTCGTGATCTATCTCTACTTCGCCGATAGATTCGAAGTATTTCTGATAAAAAATAGACAACATTAATTGATGTATGTTTAACAAAATAATTCTCATGGCTCTATTGTGTAAAAGGCGTAGCAAATTGGTTGCGCTATTCACTGCACGCCTAAACGATGTACATCATGTTCGAGTTGAACATATAAAATAGCAAGGCTAAACTTTTAAGAAAAAAATAAACAGAAGACTTACTTTTACTTGTAAATATAAAAACAAAAACCATTTACTAACCTGTAATTCTCTAAACATGGAACCAAGATGTTGTTTGTCTCTATATCTCGGAGGTACTTCTTCGTTTTTAAACCTGTGACATTCTTGCAAAAGTTTCTTCAATTCAATGAGACTAACCGAGAACGAACGGTCCTGCATGTAACTGGTCTTTTCTCTCATCCAGATCAAAAGACTGGAAGCCAGTTCGCAATATTCTTGGGTTCGTTTTTGGCTCTCGATATCGTAGAGCGGATGCATGGCAGGTGGTTCCGGGAAAACATCGTACAAAGAACTAATATAGGTAATCAAAGATTTCTCGTCAGGCTCATGGGTGTCGACATCTGGAAACACACCACATATTAATAATTGATACGTATAATTAATATTGGGTAGATGACGTATATATTTTCTTTTTTACCTTCAGGATCAAGTAATTTTGTAACGCCGTATTCTCGTTCGACAATGTGGAAGGCTGATTCAAGACGTTCGCGCACATGATGAGACCTGGAAGAGTAAAAAATCGACATATATAATACATTTACAATGTTATTAATGCAACTATACGAAATATAGTTATATATTAAAAATAACTTATGTATTATTATAATTGATTTTGTAAGCCCTTCTGGTTCTACTCTTATTCTAGTTCTTATTATAAAAAAATATTTCTTTTATAAATATACTAGCAAACCCGACGAACTCCGTTTCGCCACCAAATGGTTTCGTGAGAAAGATGAAGAAATTTTTTGTTTGTTTTATATTTGAAAAGGAAAAATTTGATTTTATTATACAACAGTAATAAATTTATTTCGATTACAAAAATTAAGTGTTTTTTAGTTGAACTTCTCTAAGTAAATGAAAGTGAATCCGCAAATTATCCGTTTCATTGAAGTGCTCTTTGGTAAACCACATTTTTTGTTTTTTAGTCTGACGTTAACACAAACTCCAACTCGTGAACAGGCAACGTATAACTGCCCATGTAAAAAACAATGATTTTCTAAATAATATATTTGAAATTTATCCCGCAAACACTAAGCGATTGGCCTTGCGACTTGTTATTGCGAACGAAAGGCGAACTGGAAATTGCAATCGTTTAAAGTCAAACGGAAGACCAGTCGGAATCATTGGTATGTCACCAAATCGCCAGCAATTTTTGATTGAATGGTGAAATTCAGTGCGTGTACATCATTATTCTTTGCGGCAAGAATTGCTCGTTGACTTAACCAAGCATAATTCTGATAATTCTCACTAAAGTCATTACTCGAATTTTTAATTACGGTGCGTGAACTTCTAGCAGCTTGCATTAAGGCACGATGCCATGCACAACTAATTTTCTTAGCTATAAACCTTGCGGAGCCCGAGACCTTTTCAACGAATGCAAAATTGTCTAAATCGGTTCGTGCGTTCTGAAGGTATTTCGTCAGGAAGGAAAACCCGACTTATATTTATATATATGTAGAAGATTATTATGATGTGATAAAACAGAAAAATTTTGATTACTTAAATTAAGAAATAAGATGATAAGTTTTATTTATATTATCTAAAAAAAAATAGAAATAGTTTCCCAAATCATTCAAAAATCTATTTAAATACTATCGACTTAGTGTATAAAATATGAATGTGTGTATTTTAATTATTGATGACGGACTTCAACCATCCTCTTGTATCCTTTATTATTACTGACCTGACTTCCCGCCAGTTGATGAGGTCTGGTCTGTTCCGGTGTATGATCGCATTGAAAGCCATTCCGTCCCTCCACGAGGTCGTGAAGTCGTTGACGCGGACTCCGGGGTAGCGCGCGGTCGATCGCCGGGCCCACCTCAACAGGGCCTCGCGTGCCGTCAAATTGTCCTCCTGGCCGACGACTATGTCCGATATCTGAAATATCCAGTGGAAATGAGGTTAATAAACTGTTCGCAGTTACATTCTATATACAATGCTATTAAGTAATCAACGAGAAGGGAAATTTATTGTTGTTTTGAAACCTGTAGAGAATCGTGGATCGGATAGTGAGTAGCATTTATTATGAGTAGGATGAATTATAGGTAAGAAATATTACACAAACTAGGCTAGAATAGATGTGTAACGACATTGTTGTTGATTTCAGACTTATTTCATTAAAAACCAAATGAACATCCTATAATATCATACAAATTTAAAGCTAACTCTCTACATCCTACAAATCTAGAGCTAACAGAAATTAAAGAGTTTACTAGAGTCACTGAATTATCAAAAAAGTATATAATGAGTAATAACTTTTTTTAATTGTGTTAGATCGTCCTAAATACATTTCACATGATGATAAAACTTAATAGCGAACAGAATTTATCAAAACCAATATTTTTCCAAATACTAAACGAAGCACATTTCCGCAATAAATTGTTTAAAAATACGAATTTACTTTTATGCAAAACATCATACCGATAACACCTAAATTTTTTTTAATTAATCCCAAATAGATAAATATGTTCCAAGAATGCATTATTATTTTTAATCATCGATTTATTAACAATAAATATTTATTTTTATATTGAGTTTATTTATGGGCTCTTATCAAATTTCTGACATGCCTTCACCATTATCAAGGTATAAAAAATGTTTTTATAAATTAGATAAATCAACGAGTATTATAATTAACTACGTTTAAAGTGCTTTTATCCAAGACTATAATTTAAAACCCATATACAATATTTGCTTAACGACCACTAGATGTAATTTATTTTAATCAACTACAAGAAGCAAAATATAAAGACAGGTAGCTTATTATAATATTTAGAAGATGAAAGAGCTTTAAAACACGCAATCCTTCCATGTCGAATATAAGCAATAAATTGTATTTGACTTTCACAAAAGTATATATTTATTTTAATGTCACGATATAAACAGGCATATTACTCTTCCCGAATATTTATGGTTAGTTGGCTATTACTACTGCTGATGGTTCTGTAATGTGCCGAATAATTATACTCTTGTGATTTATTAGGAATAATTACTTGAACTTCCGTGAAGAGGCGGAGAATAACTTGGTAGAGTAAAAAAGTACAGGAGAACAAGTCGAGTCATTCACTTAAGGGTTTAAGATAAAGGTTCTTCAAGAAGGACATTAAGGCACTTGTTGCAATTGCCACCAGCATACCTTTCAAAAGCAGATAAAATTGATATTTCTTTCGAAATATTTTAAGACAAATGTCCAGTCATTTTCAATTTGTATAAAAATGAAAAGCTTTATGCCATATAATTAGCTTTTAACGCAACAATTGAACTTTTATTCATATAAACCATGTTAAGCTTTTCCTTTCACAAATTATCTGCGCGATGCAACTTCCTGCTGCTCGAGGTAGCAACTCAGTCATCTATCTTAAGAAACGATTTCCTAAACATTTATCATGTTAATATTAAATGCTTATGTGAAAATGACAGCAGTAATATTATAGAATAAATCATAAAAATGTACAATAGAGGATAGTACCTCCATAACAGAATTTAACAGAAACAAATTTTGGGAAGTACCAGATTAGACAATTTATGAATCAGGAAGATGAGTATGGAATCATGCAGGTAAATTAAATCGCATGTGACAAAAATTGATCTTTTATTTATTTCTATTAAGAAATTTATAATTATTTAATTAATGTGAGAAATGGAAATTACTCTACCAAACAATTTGAAAATCAACGTGTACGTTAATTATATATTTTAAAATAATTATTTATAATTATGGAAAAATGATATACTTAATATAGTAAGGGAACCCTCAGGTTTACTGTTTTGAGATTTTGAAAAATTTTCGCATGGCGGTAGAGTTGATAGAGTCAAACGAAACCCTATAAAATATTATAGGCCTATGAGAAATGGTATAATTATAAAAATTAATTAAAATTGCAAAAAAATGCACTATGCGCTATATCTGCACCTCATATATCTTGGAGTATTTATTGGGAAGAACTATAAGAATATATTAGGAAGAAGAAAATTGAGTCAAAAATCATTATAATGATTATTGATAACTATAATGAGTCAAAGTAAGTAATTTTTATTGGACGTTTGAAATTTTGAAAACTAGATGATTAAACGATAAGTTTGTTTAATTTCTAATGGTAAAAATAAAGAAAAATAGAAGATAATATATATATATATATATATATATATATATATACTAGCTGACCCGACAGACGTTGTTCTGTACCTACGTCTACAATTTTTCAATATTTTATACTAATATTTACTGCTTAGTTAAAAATAATAATTACTGTTTTTTGAATTACTATTTACACCAATATATAAGTGATGTTGAATGTAGAACTGTTTCAAATAAAATGATTGTTCTCAATTTCCACAGTTAACACTTTAATTATTTATTTAACAAATATTAAAAAATGTTCAATAAAATTGTATATTAAAAATTATACACTGCGATTTATAGAACAAATTTATTTCCAATAGCTCAATTTATTTTATTGCATTTAAGGGTTATATAGTATTTTTAGCCATACCTGTAGATGTGGATGTATAAATGAATGATTTTTTGTTTATTCACGACTAAAACATTGATTTTCCAAATTTATCACACTAAAAATGATCGTCTGCCTTTTTGATTTATGGTCATAGCATAAGATACTCATGTTGAAAATTTAAATCTTTTAAAAAGTACAACAAATTCAGAAAGAATTAATATATAGCATTCGCGGCAAAGGTGCAATATCACCTTTTATTTTTCTCACCCAAAATAATTGCTTCAATAATGTTGCCTATAATTTTTATAATTTTGTACCATATTTTAACTGGCTTTAAGTAATTTTAATATCTAAATTGCATTTTTTTCTCTAATAAATCAATATACATTATTGCTTAAGTTTATATTTGAAGTGAATTAATTTGTCAAATCCTGTTCACATGTGCTCTATTCAACTTACGATCAACAAAATTATTGCTCTGTAAATTTTTTTTACTGTGCTCCAATTTACTTGATATTTTGGAAATAGGCTAATCTTTATCTTAATTTCAATGTTTTTAACAATTTGCACTCCGTCACCATCCACAGCATTAATTGGATTATTACTCTTTTAATTCTGATTTTATCAGAACTTGTAATACACTATTTTAAAGGTGATTAAATGAGCTACAACTTTCTCTATCATTAATTTTACCGTAACTTCTCTTATTGTAAAACGGCGAAGGGTTAAAGGGCTCGAAAGACCTCTGGTTGGACAGCTCCTTAATTAATCATACATCTATCAATATTTGTGTAACGAAAAAATAATAAACAATAATAATTAGTCAGAAAAATACCTCGAATTTTCTTATATATATACTTTTATACGTATTCTTTCAGAGGTATTATGATGAGAAATTGGTTGTTTTTTTTTGTTTTTTTTTTCATGAAATCATGAGTTTTTTAAGAATCATTTGTACTAAAGTTGTGGTATTTTCTAGAATCCATCAAGATCTCTTAAACCAAGTTAATTCTAGATTGAATACGATTATTTTTAATTTTGGTGGATATGGCACTCAAAGTATTTGATTTAAATGAAAAAAAAAACATTGCATGCGTCCTTTATCTGCATGATAGCTCACTCATTTTACACGCAGAAATACTCATTTTAAAGCTTATTTTGAGCACTATAAAAACCCATTTTCATATCTAGCCTAATAATGTTCCTAAAACACTATAAAATAACGATTTATTAAGATTTTAATTGATATAATTCTGTTCATTACATGATTTTCGTTAAAATGTATATTTTTGAAGGTGTTAGCAACAAATGATGAAAAACGCAAAAAAGAAACAAATATTCAGTAGCCAGTAACTTGAAAAGTATTTCCTTTTTTGAAAAACATTATTAAATATTTTTCTCGTATAATTAGTTCTTTTATCGATACCCAACGTTATTTTGAAAAAAGTAAAATTACACCACTGAAAAGAAATGTCATCCACCCGAGAAGTGGTAAAGGAGTCTAAATTGTTTTCATTTCTGAAGAGTAAGATGAACCTAGTTCCAAAATTCCAAACGAATTGGAAAATAGTAAAAATTTCAGACCCAAAGCGCTCCATTGAGTAAATATTCCGTACCCAATGACAAACATATGAATTTTTGACACAATGAAACTTTTAAATAATTTTTTTTGTATTGTGACTTAGTATAGTAAGGCAAAACGACTGCAAATTGAATATGTTTGAGCGCAATCACTTATGGCTCGCTCCTTTGCGCGAATTCGTACGGCGAATCTGTTCGCAAAGTGCGCAAACAAAATTATTGCAAGCAAAAGCAAACCACGCGCACGTCAGACGCATGCGCAGACTGCATCACTTGTCAAATGCATGTTATATTATTTGCATCTTATATTAATTTAATTTTTGGCACATCTCAGCTGCTTTTCGGCATTAATAATGTAGACATTACATTTTCCTTATTCATAATTATGAATTTATTATATTCTAATATTGCCTTAGCCTATAAGTGAATAGAAATGTTTGGCAAATGACAGTCCTCAATTGTTTTTAATGTCAAACTAAGCTTCAAATATTCTCAAGGGCAAACAATGATAAGCGGTTTTTAGTAATTTTTTCTATTTATTTCTACAATTTAACTATATTTCTATGAATCAAAACATTCTAAAAAATTTCCCGAACAAACTTCAGGAAGATTCATGAAAATCCGAATTATAGTTTAGAAGGAAATATGAAACTTACATTGTTACAGAAGAATTTTATATATAAGATAATATATGTATATATATTACACAATTTTAGTAAATATTTCAAGTAAATGCCACTGCAGTAAGAATTGAAATCGCGTTAAATAAATCTTCGGTTTGAATGATCTTTTGAATCTGTGCTGTGAAACTATTTGGAAACATAACTTACAAATTGCACAACT